CAACGCGAAATTAACATCCAATTCCATTCAGACTTAGTACATCTCAATATCAATCCATCAATACAAGATCTGTTATAAAGATAGTGGAGATCGGACCATTTCTTCCCCCCACATAAGGTTCAAGATTTTTTTTAAAACAAAACGCTCAAAGAAGCGAAATTAGCTTCCAATTCTCTTTAAATTTCTCTTCCTCTTCCTAAACCTCAAAGAATCATGTATTCCGGACCGACACGAAATGGTCAATATTGACCCATTCCTTCGTAACCTAGTTCATCGAGGGTCGACAATGAATAATCGTAACAGAAGTCACAATATATTTAAATAATCGAACCTTGGCTGAGGGTCGGCAAAAACGACTGATATTTTCTAACTTGCTTTTTTCAAGTTTCTCGTTTGAATATTGTAATGGCAAAAGTTGGCTGCTCAGGTGCACGTCGTAGGACTGATCCTAATATAACGGCTACATCCGGTAATTTTAAGATTTTAACAGGATTTTATTTATTTCGTTTTTTTTTAATTCTTTCCAAATGGTGGAGGGTATTCAAATTTAGTGAAAATCGATTCCGAATTAGATATGTATCCCATGAAACCAAACTATAACTGCTCGAAAGCCAAATGTTGATAGGTGGTATCATGGTACAATAAAAAGAAGGTAGGTCAACTTTGAAAAAATTGCAAGTATAGAGGTCTACCTGTTTGGCTTTTAATGTCAGAATTAGTATCAAAACAATAAAAAATCAAACAACTTGTTGCATTTATTTTGAATAAATAATTGAAAAACGCGATAACTGAATGAAAGGTCAACATTTCTTTTCAAAATCATTTACTATATATCTCTAAAGATTTATTTCGCTACAAAAATTCTAGATTTTGTCGATGCATACGTTGAAATAAACATTTTGAAAACATCCGAATTTGAATGTTTTCTGAACAATTTTTTGTTTATTGAAAAGAAAACACATACATAAACAAATAAAGATGACATATTAAGCCAAGAAAATAAAAAAAATTAAATCATATGGTATCATAGCCCTACCTTGATATCATTGTACCATGGGTGTTAGAATCTGTTTTAAACTCTAAATTTCGAATATGGAACTATTTCCATTAAAAAAATATGGCTCAAATCTAAAAAATACCGAATATTGGGTGGTACCGCTATATGGGGGGCTATACGAAAATGTGGAGCTATGTTTCCTGCATTTGGTCCTCGACATTTTAAGGCAATAATAAGTACTTGTGCCAAAATTCATCCACTTCCACTTTGACAAATCGACAAGTGCGAATGAAGAAAAAAGTTCCATTGCTAAGAAAAATTTGATATTGCATCTCCCTTGTTGGTGGCCTAATCTTGCCGTCTCAACAGCGTATCCGCGTTGATATTTTCGTTTTCCAAATTTGGATTCATCTATTTTCACAACGATGACAGAGCCGCCTATCTGTAAATGCGTGTATAATGAACTAAAGACAACATTTCCCGACAGAAGTTCCTTGGATCTCTTGTGTTATGTCGTCTGGAACGAGTCCCCGCCATAAAAAAGAGAATTATTTGCAAATCGACAGATGCGAAGTATAAAAAAAATTAGATATAGCTCCCATATATATCTTCATCCGATTTCGGGTTAATTGTGCACTAAATGGCAAAACTTAGTCCAAATGGCCGCAATTTTAGCATATCCGACCGAATTCAGTCTAGAAGCAGGTACATCAAATTTGCATAAAATCAGTTTGGACATAGCTTTAGCTCTCATATATATGTTTCATCCGATTTGGTCTTTATGTCCCTCACATTCGTAATCTGCATTCGACAACAATGATATTTGGTATCTTATTGAGCTCGGAAATACATTTGCCAAATATTGAGATCGGCTAAGATTTGGATATAGCTCCCATATATATCCTTTATCCGATTTCAGGTTTTTTTTTTGTGCAAATAATGGCTAATATCAGACTGAATGCAGTGAATTTCGGAATGTTATTTGGTATAAAAGATAAAAAGGTCTTCGTCAAATTTAATGGAAATCGATTAATACATTAGTTTCCTCTGAAACCAAATTATAACTGCTCTAAAGCCAAATGTTGATAGGTGGTATGATCTACTTCATAATAAATTCTTTTGTTATGGGAGCTCTACTAAATATGCATAGTGGATTAGGGTATCATATAGTCGGCCCCTCTCGACTTTTTACCTTTTCTTGTTGGTTTTAAATAACTTTAAATGCAAATATGTTAATTTTTTGGGCGCTATCGCTTATCATCATACCAGTTGACTGTGGATCTGAAAAGATACTTAGATTTATTTCCTTTAAAGAAACTTTTTATATAATCAAGGCTGTGATAGAAACCAATTTTGTCACTATTGGTTTTAAAAACGACAAGAAAAAATGATTTGGTGTCATAAAAATCAATCGGCCCAATTACGGTTGTCGTTACTATAGTCGTCGTCGACTTTATGTACAAGTCGCCCTCGCCGTCGCTTCGATTCAAAAATGGTATCATGGTAAGCCATAGAAGCGACATCGACAGTTTAAAATAAAAGTTGGCAACAATTAAAAAAAAACGTTGGCAACACTCCCTTGTTATTGACAAAAAAAGATAATTTTTTTTTGTATTTTGAATTATAATTTCGACTCTTTCGGAAAAATAAAAATATAGTGAAAAAATGAAGATTATAAATGCGTTACATATCTTAAGTTCAAGTGAGGATGAAGAGAAGAATGTATTAGTAGTGCAGCGGCTAGTGTTAAGGCAGCCAACAAACATATTTGCATTGCCTGGCTCTTGATTGTGTTGTTCCAAAAGTTTATGCCGCTCTTTCAAGAATTAAATAGTTTCTACTTTCCTTGATGACTTTTTATCATTGTTTTTTCTGGGCGATCGAGAAGCTTCAATATTAGGTTACATCAGTCTCATGCTCATTTTCATGAACTATAACGTCTATTACACTTATGTTTTCCTTATTTTATATTCCAAGTGCACAACCTGGTGGATTCAGTAACTTTTGAAACTGCATTATATTCGCGACAGACTCCTCCAAAGGCGACAAAGTCATTAAATTAAAAATGTCACCTCCAGTGCTGCTGGTTTCACCCTTGTTGTGCACAAGTTTCTTTTTAGTTTTAATTTTTTTTTTTTTTTTCAAAACCTAGAAGAATTTTAGAAAAACAACTAATAAAAACATACAAAAATAATTTTAATTTTTACATATTTTTTGCCAGCCATCAGAGTCTCTAATCGGAGGCCCGTTTACATTTAATTTTGTAGCAATGAATTCCCAATCTGATTTAAAATTAGCTGGAACATGACCTTTGGTAAACCCTTTGCCAAACATTACAATATCAATGTCGACTAAAAAATACTATGTCGTCACAATTTTTTACGGCGACAGATATTCTTAAAAATCGACTTCACGTCGACTGTTGTATCGACAATGATAATGGCAACCATTTGTCGCTATCGACAAAAAACGACAACCCTAATATCATTATTGTCGCCTCGACTCCATTTTGCGACGCCGACGATAACCGTAATAGGGCCGAATGTTTTCGTTTTTATTTTCGAATTAGAATTTTATCGGTTTTGGTTGTCATAGAAGCCAATGTTATTGGTTTTGTTATTGGAAATAAACCAAGTTGCTTAGAGCTGTCACTTTTCATTTGCTTTGGATTTTTTAAACAATTTTTAAAGGATATTCGAAGGACTGAAAATGTGGATTTTCAAAGGACTAGAAACTTGGTTTTTTTTAAATTTTAAAGGACTATAAACGTGGATTTTTTAAGAATTTTTAAAGGATATTTAAAGGACCATAAACGTGGATTTTTTTAAATAATTTTTAAAGCATATTTAAAGGACCATAAACGTGGATTTTTTTTAAAGAACTTTTAAAGGATATTTAAAGGACCATAAACGTGGATTTTTAAAGGTCTATAAACGTGGATTTTTTTAAGATTTTTTAAGGGACTATAAACGTGGATTTTTTTAAGATTTTTTAAGGGACTATAAACGTGGATTTTTTTAAGATTTTTTAAAGGACTAGAAACGTGGATTTTTTTTAAAGATTTTTAAAGGACCATAAACGTGGATTTTTTTAAGGATTTTTAAAGAATTTTTAAAGGACCATAAACCATAAATCTGCAATGCAGTTTTATGAGTAAGTTCACAATAAAAAAATTTACTTACGCTATCTCCGGCAACTCCAGTGGGTTGCTGAAATCTCTAAGAGCTTTTCTCGTCACCTTTTTTGAGCGTTCTTCGTCCAACAACACAAAAACTACCACTGCTGATGCCATCTTACTTTATTTATAGCGACTTATTCCTTTTTTTATTTACTTTACTTTTACTGATATTTCAATGACAAAAAAAAAACACATGTAAGCAACAACAGCTGATTCGAACATTGGTTTTATTTACATTCGAAATTGACAAAACCAACTTGGTTTCATGACACCAAATGAAACCAACATTGGGTTACAAAAACGACAATAAGCAAAACCGACATGGTTTCTGTGACAGCCCTGATTAGTTCCCTCTGAAACCAAACTAAAACTGCTCGAAAGCCATATGTTGATAGGTGGTATGATCTGCTTCATAATAAATTCTTTTGTTACAGGAGTTCTATTAGATATGCATAGTGGATTAGGGTATCATATAGTCGGCCTCGCCCGACTTTTAACTTTTCCTTACTAATTTTAAATAACTTTAAATGCAAATATGCTAAATTTTTTGGGTGCTACCGCTTAGCATCATACCAGTTGACTGTGGATCGGAAAAAATACTTAGCTTTATTTCCTTTAAACAAACTATTTATATAGTACTTACCTGGAATTTTTTTAACCTTCCTCTTTTGTTTTTCAGAATTAATAAATGTTAAACCCAGTCCGAGTATCATTTCAGTTTAAAATAACTTTAAATGCAAATATGTTAAATTTTTTTATATATCCTTCAGGCTCCTTCCTCGAGTTAGGTATAACAATCCCCTGGAAAATAGAAACTAAATGGCATTTAATGTATATGATATTTCAATAGATTACCAATGGCAGTTTTATTGATTTTTGTATGGGAAAATAATTTTTTTATATTTTAAAAAGCTTTGCAAGCAAAATATTGTATATTTTTTCCGTTTCTTTTAATTATAATAATAATATGTGGCGGTTGCTTTTCATTTTCGTTACTTCTTTTGTTGATTTCCATAAATTTGTGTAAGAGATCTTTTGTAATTATTATGTTATTATTATAAAAATAGTTATTTACAGTCGTTAATAATAAATGCAATAATTTGTTAGGTTTTCTTTTAATTTTCGAAAATGAGTTTCCAAGAAAAGCTAATTTTTATCTATGTAACCAATTTTTTGTGTATCACAATATCTAATTTTGAAGAACATTTAAAGCTTAATTTTGAGTGTTTTTGTTTTGGGTTTTCATAAAAATACTTAACAATAATTGTTTTTTTTTTTTTAATAAAATAGATAAGGGATAGAGTCCTAATTTTTAACAAAAAATATATATTAGGCAGTGTAAAAGGTATGTAGGTTTGTTTGTTTGCAGCTTGATTTTGCAGCAGTACTAAAAATAATTAATTTGAACAAAACTGAATAATACTAACAATGAACAAGTGTCTTAATGGAATAGTGACTAGAATAAATTTATGAGATTGTAGTAGTTCTTAAAAAAAGGGTGGGTCATTTTCATGATTCTTGTTTTGGGTTTTCTTTAATTTTTCTTAAAAAAGAAAATAGATATTTAAAACACTGCCGGCGTTTGTAAATATTCCGCATTATGATATATAACCGAACCATCTGAGGCCTCTATGGTCTGTATGGGTGTTTTACAATAAAAACACACCTTGGAATTCATTAGATGCTGTAAAATGCAATTGCTGCACGATTGATGTTTACAGGGTGTGAAGAGCACTGCTATGGGTTTGGCACAACAAATGGGACACAGCGAGTCTTCTGAGGGTAAAGTTATGTCCGATAGCAGTGATTGTTTGGCCTTTAGCATATCAATCAGGAATTTGACTTTTTCAATTTCTTCACTGGTCACGTGGCTGGGAACTTTTGAAAAGAAGAAATCTGAAATATTGAAAATATTCGAAAATCGAAATACTTACAATCATTCAAACTAAATTTCAATATTGGAGGATCAGCTCGTATCTTTTTCAGGCTGGAGGTAGTTGGTTGGGGTATCCGTACATCATTGGTAAGCGGATCAATGTGAGCCCTTGTGGAGGGATCAAAGTTGCCGCGAGGAATTTCACTTTGCTGCAGAATGGGAGTTTTTATTTCGCCCAACGCGAATTCCAAATTGGCAAACTGAAAGCTGGGGTCAGTCAAGAGGGCGCGACAAACTCGGGTGACCTGGAAATGAAAAAGAATTAGATTTTGGGAGAAATTAAAAAGAGTTAAAATAAATTAATAACTTCTTAATTATTTGGCTATACAAGTCCCTTGGAAAGATGTATTTTCGAGCTGTTTAAAAGGGTTGGGTACGATTCCTTATGAGATTGAAATTTGATTTCTTTCTGAACGAAATTCCTAAAAAACAAGTAAAATACTATCAGTCGGATGTATTACCCCAGCCTTGAGTTATGATTATTCAAACTGTTGACCCTTCAAGGGAGAGGTTCCGAAGCAGTTGGCCAATATTGACCAATTCGTATCTGATCTAATACAGATATAAATATTACAACGTGCCCGAATTGGGCTATATCGACTACTTTCTGTACTTCAATTGTTTTAAAAAATGTGAAAATATAAGTGAGGTACAAGATATAGCGAACCGAAGTATTCCACTTTCATAATTCATCTAATACAGGTAAAATATTCGTATTTGAAGGAAATCGAACATTTATATCCATTTTTATGGGAAATCAAAAATTCCGATAAATTTCATATTCACCTCAGGGTTCTGGCTGAGAAAAATATTTTGATATAGCACGTTGTAAGGAATCGCCACTTGTTTCGCAAGTTATGACCGATAGAAGTATTGGAAATTTGTGACCCTTTGTGGGGGAGGTACCAGAAGGAGTTGGCAGATGTATATCACCTTCACAACAGATCTTGATCGTTTGCAAAAATATTGGGATGTGTGTAATTTGAAGAGAATCGGATGCTTATTTTGGATTTTATGATCGTTTTGGTTATTTAAAATTTTGACCCATTGTGGGGGAGGTCCTAGAGGGAATGGTCCGGTCTGTACCGTCTTTATAATAGATCTTGTGTTGATGGAAATATTGAGATGTACCAAGTCTGAATAGAATCGGATTTTAATTTTGCGTCATATGAGCTTCATGGATATTCAAAATTTTGACCCTTTGTGGGGGAAGTACCAGAAGGTGTGGACCGATATATTCCATTTTCACACCAGGCCTTGGGTTAATAAAAATATTGTAATATGTGTATTTTGAAGAAAATCGAATGCTTATTTTGGATTTTATGATCGTTTTAGTTATTCAAAACTTTGAGCCTTTGTGGGGGAGGTACCAGAAGGAATGGTCCGATCTCTACCATCTTTTTAACAGATCTTGTGTTCATGGAAATATTGAGATGTACCAAGTCTGAATGGAATCGGATGTTAATTTCGCGTCTTATGAGCTTCATGGATATTCAAAATTTTGAGCCTTTGTGGGGGAGGTACCAGAAGGAGTGGACCGATATATTCCATCTTCACACCAGGCCTTGGGTTAATGAAAATATTGTGATGTGTGTAATTTGAAGAGAACCGGACGCTTATTTCGGATTTTATGATCGTTTTGGTTATTCAAAACTTTGATCCCTTGTAGGGGAGGTACCAGAAGAAATGGTCCGGTCTGTACCGTCTTTATAATAGATCTTGTGTTGTTGAAAATATTGAGATGTACCAAGTCTGAATAGAATCAGATGTTAATTTCACGTATTATGAGCTTCATGGATATTCAAAATTTTGAGCCTTTGTGGGGGAGGTACCAGAAGGAGTGGACCGATATGTCCCATCTTCACACCAGGCCTTGGGTTAATAAAAATATTGTGATGTGTGTAATTTGAAGAGAATCGAAAGCCTATTTCGGATTTTATGATCGCTTTAGTTATTTAAAACTTCGGCCCTTTGTGGGGGAGGTACTAGAAGGAATGGTCCGATCTCTACCATATTTATAACAGATCTTTTGTTGATAGAAATTTTGAGATGTACCAAGTCTGAATGGAATCGGATGTTAATTTCGTGTTTTATGAGCTTCAGGGATATTCAAAATTTTGACCCTTTGTGGGGGAGGAACCAGAAGAAGTGGACCGATATGTCCCATCTTCACACCAGGCCTTGAATTAATGAAAATATTGTGATGTGTGTAATTTGAAGAGAACCGGACGCTTATTTCGGATTTTATGATCGTTTTGGTTATTCAAAACTTTGACCCCTTGTAGGGGAGGTACCACAAGAAATGTTCCGATCTCTACCACCTTTATATCAGGATCTTGTGTTCATGGAAATACTGAGATGTACCAAGTCTGAATAGAATCGGATGTTAATTTCGCGTCATATGAACTTCATGGATATTCGAAATTTTGACCCTTTGTGGGGAGGTACTAGAAGGAGTGGACCGATATATCCCATTTTCACACTAGACCTTGGTTTAATGAAAATATTGTGATGTGCGTAATTTAAAGAGAACCGGTTGCTTATTTCGGATTTTATGATCTCTTTAGTTATTTAAAACTTCGGCCCTTTGTGGGGGAGGCACCAGAAGGAATGATCCGATCTCTACCATCTTTATATCAGATCTTGTGTTGATGGAAATATTGAGATGTACCAAGTCTGAATAGAATCGGATGTTAATTTCGCGTCATATGAGCTTCGTGGATATTCAAAATTTTGACCCTTTGTGGGGGAGGTACCAGAAGGAGTGGACCGATATATTCCATCTTCACACCAGGCCTTGGGTTAATGAAAATATTGTGATGTGTGTAATTTGAAGAGAATCGGATGGTTATTTCGGCTTTTATAACCCTTTTGGTTATTCAAAATTTTGACCCTTTGTGAGAGAGGTACTTTATGGAGTGGATCGATATTGTCCATTTTCGCACCTGACCTAGCACTGACGCAAACATTACGATTCGCAAAGTTGGAACAAAATCTGATTATCCTTTCTCTTTCTGTGCAGTAAATTATTTTCTTTGAAAATATTGACATTTTGTGGGGGAGGTACCAGAAGAAGTGAACCGATACTGCCCATCTCCGAACTCGATCTAACTTTGACAATAATATTACGATGTACCAGTATCAGCGAACTGAGAGAAGAGGCCAACTGGTTGGTACAGGAGCACCAATGAAAAAAGTGGCCAGACCATATGAAGTGTTGCAACATTGGAACCGTCAACTTTAACGACGTAACGTGAAGCGAAGGGTACAGGGCGAAGCGAAGGGCACTATGTCGCATATAATCTCTTTCCGCCGTGTGGTTGTCACCACAGTTTACGATGGGTAAAGTTGCATATGTCATCCGAAACGCTATGCTATACAAGAGGGATAAAAAAAGACCAGGTTTTTTTTTATAATGGGAAGAATTCTAATAAAAAACCCAAGGAGTTTTTTCTTTCAGAACTACAAGTCCTCCACTTCCCTTGGAAACCAATTGATATTCTTCTAGTGAAGATGAAGATGTTTGTTTTTCTTTTATAAAATTCAAGAGATCTTCTTAAGGGATGGCAAGAGGATTAACAAAAGGTATACTTATTGGGGGCTAAAGAAGGATCTCTCAATAAAACATTTAAGAGGTTCAATATGGCTTCCTGTAACAGATCTAAATATGTTCACATGGGAGTATATTAAAATATGCCACTGAAGATGGGATTAATTTCGTTTTCACCTCCTTACCTTGGATGGATTTTTATCGTTGTCAATTTCCTCCTTGAACAGGGCCAACAGAATACCCAATGCGGCGGTAATTATGGGAAAATGTGTTACCGCATTCAGCGAAGAGGAACACATATCCACAACGAATTGGAAACAACCCGGCGGAACTGTTACCCTGGACAACACCTGACTTATTAGCTGGCAGACACGATTCAAGACTAAGTCACTATTGGCTCGGCAGGGGTCGTGGAAAATGTCTGGCGCCACGGTTATTATCATTTCCAGGCAACGCATCAACGAGACGGTCAATTCAAAACACATGGAACATATTTTCAGTTGTTTTGGCTCGAATTTGGTGTTTTCTTGGCGGTGGGCGGTGTTTTGGATCTAAAAAATAAAAAGGAATTAAAATTTATATTTTTTGTTTTCTAAAATGGCATTACCTCCTGCAGTAGTAGTATGAACTCCGAAAAGGCCCAGTTTAATTGACTTAGCACCGAGTTTAAAAATGCCGTGGCAAATGGCTCATCTTCGGTCAGTTTCTGACCTATCAAATTTTGATAATGTTTGGAAGGATTTGCCGGTGCAATGTTGTGCAACAACCCCGTGTGGGTTTCATTCTTCGAACGTGAACGACATAGCCCGAAATGCAAGGGTGAATTGCCACCCTGCCAGACACAGGGTTGGCGTGCATCACGATAGGCAAAACCCTGGCCAAGCCAGAAACGTAATATTAGCCAATTACTTTGACCCCAGGCACGACTTTCATAGGGACGCAACAAGGCATTGACCAAGGCCATTTGACTGGAAAATGGAAAAATAAAATTTTAAAATTTCCTATCGAAAATTATTTCATTTTACCATACCTTTTCATTGGTGCTTGTTCCAAGGCCTGTATACCACCCTTGTGACAGGTCAACGTGCCCAAGGCCTGTAACAAAGAATCCTTACAGGAAGCCAAAACGATACGAGGATCTGCCGAATGAAGACTTAGAAAATTGGCCACAGCATTGATGACACACTCCGAATCTTGCATTTCAAATTGCACAACCAAATCATGATTGCTGAAATCCATGACAGTATCCAAGAGTATGGGTAAAATATTGACATAGACCTCGGGCACAAATGCAAACAAGGGACCCTCTCTGGAGGAGGCCTGAAAAGGGAATAAAGCTCTGTTATTAAAAAATAAAATTTCGAATTTCTAAAAAACCCACATTTAAAGTCTTCAGAGCCTTATCCAGCAGCCATATTAACAGGGATCGCCTCTTGGGACCCAAGGCAACGGCCCGATACCAAGCCTGCTTGCGGGCCAATTCTATGGAACGTTTCTAAAAAGGATGAAATAAAAATCAATTACTTCGTTGTTTTTGTTTTTACTTTTTGAGGTGTGAATAGCTACCGCAAAAACATTCTCCCTTTGACTAAATTTGGTTCTCAATTCCGACACCACATGACTGTGCTGCTCATCCATACAGACACTGGCATGATCTTCCAATACCTGCAACTTTTTCTCCACATCTTCACGATAGTATTTGGTTTCCAACAGTACATCATTTAAGGCAGCTATTTCATCGCGTACCGAAGCGATCTAAATGGGATTTTTTTTAATTTAAATCAAAATTGTGTTAAAGTAATTTCGAACCCACCTTAACAATATATTTGTGACCCACACAATAGTAATATAAGACACATAGATCCAATAAGTCATATAGGGAAGCTTCAGTTTTACTATTGCCCGGTTTGACCTCAAACACCTGATTGATACGTGGATTTAGGAAGGTTGTGTAGGCTGTTGAATTGCTGCTGTTGTTTGAAAAAACATATATTTTAAAAATATTAAAAAGGTCGGAAATTGATACCAAAGATAGTCTAGTGCTACTTACCCAATTGGACGGCCCACAATGGAAACGGCTTCACCATCTAAAAAAAATAAAAGATAAAAAAAATTTAAATCATTTTTTGTTAATCTCAAAAGAATGGATGGGAAGCCAGAGTAAGCGTAGCGTTCTTTAGACTCAAAATGTAGGGTAACATTCTCCTGACGACTTATATTAATTGTCTTGATTTAGAGACCAAAGACTGCAACAAATCTATAAACTCACTAACCTTTAAAGGTCTGAAAAATGTCTTCTTTCAATAGGATACCTTCGATAGAATTCGTTTTTCGATTTAAAAAATTCTTTCAGAATAGTTTCCAGCTACAGAGAACCTCTAAATAGGTCATCAAATTTTGAATAATTATGACTTCTCTGTAAAAACACTTAATACTTAATGCATCTTAAATGTGGTTCAGGAACGTTTTGTTTTAGAGTTTTTTTACGGAAATCTTCCAGCTAAGAAAACTCCTCTGTAAAGACCCTTTCCTTTTTAAATGACCTTTAGAAACACCCTTAATGGGTCTTTCATATATAGAATATTTTTTAGATATCTTCTAAGCTCTTATAAACGGGGTTTTCCGGATCTTTTACAGATATCTTCCACCTACAGAAGACCTAAAATATCCTGAAAATATTATAAGGTCTTCTTTGTGAAAAAGCCTTTTTTCTTTTAAAAAGATCTGAATTATTAGAACAACTCTAAAAGTTCCTCTATTTACAAAAAACTTTATATGGATATTTTTTTGACAGTAAACCCCCTCTAGTTATACCCTCAGGGTATATATCATTTGACACGGCCAAAACGTGTCTCATCGAAATAACGGTTTTAGACCCTATGTCTCCTTGGACCAAATCCGTTTCAGGACATTTGGAGTCGATCTAGCGATGTCCGTCCATCTGTCTAACTGGCTAGTGCGCCCGATAACTCTCGAAGGGAGTATCCGATTTGATCCGAACTTGGTACATCATAATATTATTGTCAAACTTAGGTTGCGTTCGGAGATGGGCAATATTGGTCTTGTGGTACCTCCCCCAAAAAAAGTTTAACATTTTCAAAGAAAAAAAATTTACTGCACAAAAAGAGAAAGGATAATCCGATTTGGCTCCTAATATTTGCATCAGTGCTAGGTCAGGTGCGAAAATTGACAATATCGGTCCACTCCATCAAGTACCTCCACAAGTGTCAAAATTTTAAATTGTTTTAGCTCTTATAAAATGTGATTTAAGTGTCTGATTGCCTTCAAATTACGCACACCTCAATATTTTTTATTAACCCAAGGTCTGGTGTGAAGATGGAATATATCGGTCTATTCATTTTGGTACCTCCCCCACAAAGGGTCAAAATTTTGAGTATCCATGAATCTCATATAACGCGAAATTAACATTCGATCCCATTCAGACTTGGTACATCTCAATATCAACACTAGATTTGTTATAAAGACGGTAGAGATCAGGCCATTCCTTCTGGTAACTCCCCCACAAAAGGTCAAAATTTTGAATAACCAAAACGATGATAAAATCCGAAATATGCACCAGTTCTCTTCAAATTACACACATCTCATTTTTTATAGTAACTAAAGACCTGCTGTGAAGATAGGATATATCGGTTTACTCCTTCTGATACCTCCCCCGCAAAGGGTAAAAATTTTGAGTAACCATGAAGCTCATAAAACGCGAAATTAACATCCGATTTCATTCAGACATGGTACGTCTCAATTTTTCCCCTAAAACAAGATCTGTTATAAAAATGGTAGAGATCGGACTAGTCCTTTTGGTACCTCCCCCACAAAGGGTCAAAGTTTTGAATAACCAAAACGATGATAAAATCCGAAATATGCAACCGGTTCTCTTCACAGTACACACATCACGATATTTTTATTAACCTGAGGTTTGCTGTAAAGATGTAATATATCGGTCCACTTTTTCTGGTACCTCCCCCGCAAAGGGTAAAAATTTTGAGTAACCATGAAGCTCATAAAACACGAAATTAATATCCGATTCCATTCATACTTGACACGTCTGAATATTTCCATCACCACAAGGTCTGTTATAAAGATGGTAGAGATCGGACCATTCCTTGTGGTACCTCCCCCACAAAGGGTCAAAGTTTTGAATAAAAAAGCGATCAAAAATCCGAAATAAGCATCCGGTTTTCTTCAAATTACACACATCACAATATTTGTATTAACCTGAGGCCTGCTGTAAACATGGGATATATCGGTCCACTCTTTCTGGTACCTACCCCACAAAGGTCATATTTTTAATGTTCATGAAGCTCATAAAACACGAAATTAATATCCGATTTCATTCAGACATGCTACGTCTCAAAATTGTCGCTAAAACAAGATCTGTTATAAAAATGGTAGAGATCGGACTATTTCTTCTGGTACTTCCCCCACATAGGGTTCAAGATTTGAAAAATAAAACGCGCAAAAAAGGCGAAATATGCATCCAACTCTCTCATCCAACACAAGATCTGTTGTGAAGATAATATATATCTGCGAACCCCTTCTGGTACCTTACCCACAAAGCGTTACAATTTCCAATGCTTATATCTGTCATAACTTGCGAAACATGTCGGCGACTCTTTACACCTCGCTATATCTAAATATTTCTCTTAACCAGAAATCTGATATAAATTTGTAATTTATCGGATTCTATAATTTCGCATAAAATTGGATATAAATGTTCGATTTGCTTCAACTTTTGCGCATACCAATATTTTTATCTGTATTATATGAAGTATGAAAAAGGAATACTTCGGTCGATATATATCACATATCTCATATGAAGTGAAGGAAGTCCAAACCTGGCATGTTGTAATATTTATATCATATTGATTTAGGTCCGATACGAAATGGGAAATTCTTGTCCATTTCTTGGAACCCCACTCCATAGAGGGTCAACAATTTAAATAAATAATCGAACATTGGCTGAGGGTATACATCTGTCGACAAAACCGACTGATACTCTTTAACTTGTTTTTCTTCAATGGGTCCAGTGATATTCTATAGGAATAAAAGAAAACCTAGAAGTCTTCAACACATATACAGGCTTCTAAACTTTTTTTTACCAAACTTTCGCCAAAATCTTCCAGCTACAGAAGAAATCTAAAAGGCCTTTAAATTGTACATAACTAGAAGAAGATTATCTCTGTAAACATCATTTTTCTGTATGGAAGAGCTATTGAAGGTTTTCTATTCATAAAAAATTTGAATTCTTAGAACACCTCTAAAGAGTCTCCTGTGTGTAAAGAATACTTTTTGGAGATCTTTTGAGGTAAAACCAATCTAGATGCCTTTAAGATAAATTCCAGGGTTATTCTAAATGAGGATAAAATAAAACTAGACATCTTCTACACAGAGAAGGATTTCTTAACGTTTTTGCGGATCTTTTACAGGAATTTTCTAGATATAAAAGATCTTTTAATTGTAGATTACTTGAAGGTCTTCTGTGTAAATAACCATATCCTCTTTAGAAAACCTGTATAAGGTTTCCTATCCATAAAGGATTTAACTTTTCATAAGACTTCTAAAGGGTCATTCACATACAGAATAAATTTTTGGATATTTTCTTGACTTTACATATTTTTTTAGCCTTCATCTAGACATTTGGCCTAGTAGGGTCCAGGAGTAGTCTGTGGAAAGAAAAAGAGACTTTGATGTTTTCTTGACATTGAGTACATTTAGAGGGCCTTTTACGGATAGAAGACTTCCTCTTGAAACATCGCTTAAGTGGAAGTAGTTGAAATCATCTATTCTATCCCACTCAAATCATCTATTCTATCCCCAAGAAATTTAAGGTTTTAGATAACCTCTAAAGAGCCTTTCATATACAGATTTCTAAATTTCTAAATACTTTTTTAAATGGTGTATTCAATAGCGGGAAAAGAAAAGCTTGATCTCTTCGTAACATAGAAGACTTTCCGGACGTCTTTTGTAAATAAATGACTTTTCCTAAAAACACCTATAAAATAGAACTTCTCGAAGTCGTGTATCTAACAATAGACATTTAGATGCCCTTCCAGCAATAGTTTTCATTAGGTATTTTTTCTGATCTTCCAACACTTACACACATCAGCCACGCGCACAATCAAACGATCATCTTCCAACAATTCCAGTGTCCTTTCCACACCCAAATGTTGCTGGATATCATTGCGATGAACTTTACGCAAATGCGACAGAACACCACCCACTCTATCAAAGTGTTGATATTCAAAACTGCCATCATAGAAATAGCTAGGGGAGATTTCCACCGGTTTTCCAGTCATTTCCTTTTCAAAGGCTGTCTTGGTGACGTCGATGAGTATGCATATAAATGCCAAAGCCACAATGCTCTCAATGGGATGTAATATACTCGATTGCATGAAGAATATCGAGTGGAAGGGCTGCAAGAAAAAAAAGGAAATATTATTTTGGATATTTTTCTTCTCAAAAATGTAAAGCTTACCCTTTGTTCCATACTCAAATCCATTACATATCTACGTAGCTTGGCCAAAAATATTTTGCGACTAGATGGCGTCAGCGCATCCCCATCATCATTGGCCAGCAGGGTAAGCAATAATGTCTTTTGTAGGACATATACTAATTCTGTGGATTTGGCAATTTTCTCCACCATGGACATGTATTTATGTTTTGGACCACCAATGCCCGCCGTCCATGCCAAGTGATCGGGTATCAGAGTTTGCATGAAGGTAAATTCCGGAGGTCGTATATACATTAACAAAGCCAGGCTGTAATGAGAAATAGGTAAATGTGGAAACTTTTTTTGGGGGTTAGAATTTCTTACAAATGTTTTTTGAAAAATTTAAATTCCAAATAGATTTTACGGCAGCGCCTGTGATTGCATAGCCCGATTAACGTTTGCAATGCCTCACATTGTTGGCCATAATCTAGACCCTTATTGGTTTGGGTATATTCACACAACAAGGAATTTGCCAGCTTTTTCAAAATATATTTCATTTCCTCCACTTCGAGGTAATTCCATAAAATATCCAACAAAGCACCCAAGGGACTTTCCGAGTGGCCGGGTTGTATAGAATCTGTTTCACATCTGAAATACAAGAAATTATTAGAATTAAAGAACATTTTTAGAATAACACTTAAATACCTACCTCCTCTGCCCCACCTGACGTATGGTCTCCAATAGTTTACTCTCAATAATATAGCTATTGAATAGCAGTGGAGACAAATGCTCAATGATAAGCGTACAAAATACCACATAAACTGTCTTCTTGGTGGAGAGTTTATCCTCTTTACTTTTCTTGCTTTTCTCATGATTGTAGCGGGCCACAATGCTGGACATATTAACCAAATAGTTTAATAACAATTCAGCTTTTTGTAAATTAACTATGGGCTCAGCCATTAGAGGCATAAAATTCGCCACTGGATATTTAAATGGATTATTGCCAAAGTTGGCTTGAACACTTTGATTATAGCCGAGGGATATTGCGGGAAAGAATGTAATTCCGGGACCTTTTTCTAATTTGCAAAATGCCACACCCATGGAGTTGCCGTTGCGATAATAGGATATCTCCTCATTTTCAATATCCAGTGTTATGCCAATGATATCGCCAATCTGCCATTTTTCACCGTATCTGGAAAGCAAGATGGGAAAATTAATTAATAGATTATTTTTAAAAATAAAAAGAGAATTTAGTCTTCAAATGGCAATCAAACATTGGAACGGATTTTGAAGAGGCTTCAGTAATATCTTATCTATTTTTTCAATAACAAGTAAAATAGTATCAGTCAGCTTTTCCGACAGATGTATGCCCCCAGCCTTGAGTTGTGATTATTCAAACTGTTGAGCCTTTATGGGGGAGGTTCCGAAGCAGTTGGACAATATTGACCAATTCGTATCTGACCTAAGACTGAATATAAATATTACAATGTGACAGATTTGAACTATATCGACTACTTCCTATACTTTATATGATAATTCAATAAATAATTCATTTGGAAATTCATGAAATGGTGAAGGGGTGCTCTGATGTGGCTAAGAAGTGCCTTTTGTAAAATTTAGAGGTTTTTTTAGGTCTGAATGGTTTCGAAGTCCACATTTACCAGCAGCAAATCTAAAACAAGTGGAAATACGCCTGAGGTACCAGATATAGCGGAACGTAGTTTTTCATTTTCATACTTCATCTAATAATGATAAAAATATTGGTATGTGCGAAATTTGAAGGAAATCGGACATTTATATCAAATTTTATGCGAAATAAAAAACTCCGATAAATTACATATTCATATCAGATTTCTGGTTAAGAGAAATATTTAGATATAGCTAGGTGTAAAGAGTCGCCGACAGGTTTCGCAAGTTATGAGAGAGATATAAGCATTGGAAATTGTGACCCTTTGTGGGTGAGGTACCAGAAGGGGTTGGCAGATATCTATCATCTTCACAACAGATCTTGCGTTAGCAAAAATATTTGGATGTGGGAAATTTGAAGAGAGATGAATGCTTATTTCGGATTTAATGATCGTTTTGGTCATTCAAGATTTTAACCCTTTATAGAAGAGGTACCAGAAGAAATGGTGCGATCTCTACGATCTTTATAACAGATCTTGTGGTGATGGAAATATTGAAATCTACCAAGTGTGAATAAACTTAGTTACTTAAAATTTTGACCCTCTGTGGGGGAGGTACCAGGAGGAGTGGATCGATATATCCCATCTTCACACCAGACCTTGAGTCAATTAAAATATTGTGATGTATGTAATTTTAAGGGAACCGTATGCTCATTTTGGATTTTATGATCGTTTTGGTTATTCAAAACTTTGAACCTTTGTAGGGGAGATACCAGAAGAAATTTTCCGATCTCTACGATCTTTATAACGGATCTCATGTTTATGAAAATATTGAAATGTACCAAGTCTGAATGGAATCGGATGTTAATTTCGTATTTTATGAGCTTCATGAATATTCAAAATTGTGACCCTTTGTGGGGGAGGTATCAGAAGGAGTGGATCGACATATTTCATCTTCTCAGCAGATATTTGGTTAGTAGAAATAATGGGATGTATGAAATATGAAGGGAACCGGATGCTTATTTATTTATTTTTTGATCGTTTTGGTTATTTAAAACATTGACCCTTTGTGGGGGAGGTAGCAGAAGGAACGGTTTGATCTCTACCATCATTATAACCGATATTGAGTTTATGGAAATATTGAGATGTACCAAGTCTGAATGGAATCGGATGTTAATTTCGTGTTTTATGAGCTTCATGGATATTCAAAAATGTTAACCTTTGTGTGGCGAGGTACCAGAAGGAGTGCACCGATATATCACCTCCTCACACCAGACTTTGGGTTAATAAAATTATTGTGATGTGTGTAATTTGAAGACCATCGAACTCTTACATCACATTTTATAAGTATTATAATTCTTGATGGAGTGGACCGATATTGTCCATTTTCTCACCTGACCTAGCACTGATGCAAATATTAGGATTTGCAAAGTTGGAGCAAAATCTGCTCATCCTTTCTCCTTCTATGCAATAAATTATTTTCTTTGAAAATGTTGATGATTTTGTGGGGGAGGTAGCAGAAGAAGCGGACCGATATTGTCCATCTCCGAACTCGATCGAAGTTTGACGATAATATTACGATGTACCATGTTTGAATCAAATCGAATACTCCCTTCGAGAGTTATCGGGCGCACTAGCTAGCCAGACAGACGGACGGACGGACATCGCTAGATCGACTCCAAATGTCCTGAAATGGATTTGGTCCAAAGAGACCTAGGGTCTAAAACCATTATTTCGATGAGGCACGTTTTGGCCCTATCAAATGATTTATATACCCTCTCTAGCCATATGGCTGAGGGTATAAAAACTGCTAGCTCCTAAAAGTATGCTCTGAACTGTGCACTGGAATTTGGATGATTTTCAACTGTTAGCTTTTGAGAAATTATCTACAGACAAAAGGGGGCGAATCGTGAGGTCTAGTTAAGTGGTACCCACTCCTATCCTATCGCAGATTTCTGTAACTTAATTGGTATATTTTCTCCCTAGAACTTTTGGAATGATTGCGGCCAGAATAATTTTTGCGGCCAGAATAATTTTAATTTGGCCTGCAGAGGCCTTGTGTTAAACTGAATTTACAATAATCTTTCTGTCATCAAGAAGACCAGGCAATATAGAAAGATTGAACTGATATTATGATATCGTCCCATATTGAGAAATTGCTATTGGGAAATTTCCTGCTTCTATCTTCGTCACTCGGACTTTATTGCGGAATTTTAAGTTCGTTCAAAAAATCAATGAACAATTTAACGTTTCTAACCCGATCATATATTGAAATCGGTTGAGGTTTGGATATAGTTCCAATACATATTTTCGGCCGATTTCGTATACTTAAAGCACCAAGCACGCTATGTATGTCCGATTCCAACGAAATTCGGAATGAGTGACGGAATTTGGTACAAAAATAAATTTGTCAAATTATACTAAAATCGGTTCAGATTTTTGATATAGCTCCAACATATAAATACGCCGATTTCGCGTATTTGATGTATGTCAATTTTCAATTCGGAATGTTTGATGGATTATGGTCTAAAAATGAAGAAGAACTCAAACAATGCTTAATATTTCAACCAGTAAAGAAAGTCTTAAAGTTGGCCGGGGCCGACTTTATGATACCCTACACCGCTTTGCTAATTTAGTAGAGCTCCGGATAACAATTAAAAGTTTTTATGGGAGAATTCAATCATACACGCTATGATTATAATTTAAAGTTCAAAAGACTAAATATGCCGAAGCAATTGTATTTTTTTCAATTCGGACTTGTATTGCCCATTTGGTGCAAAATTAATTCGAAATCAGATAACGATATATATGGGAGCTATATCCAAATCTGAACCGATCTCGAAAAAATTTGGCAAAGATATTTCTGAGCTTTATTTGATGTATTACCCTGAGTATCGTTGTTACGGAGTGCATATTACGGCTGTGGGTAACAAATATAACAAATCGGATGAACAGTATATATGGGAGCTATAGCTATATCTGAACCGATCTTCACCAAATTTGACATACTAGCTTCTAGACTCAATTCGGTCGTAAGTGCCAAATTTCATCCCATTTGGGCAAATATTAAACGTTTGGTGCACAATCAAAGGTAAATCGGACGAAGTTATATATGGGAGCTATATCCAAATCTGAACCGATCTCGATAAAATTTAGCAAAGGTATTTCTGAGCTGCATTTGATATATTTCCCCAAATATTGTTGTTACAGAGTGCATATTACGGCTGCGGAGGACAAAAATAACAAATCGGATGTACAATATGTATGGGAGCTATAGCTATATCTGAACCGATTTCGATGAAATTTGGCATACTTATTTTCAGGTCCAATCTGATCGTACGTGCAAAATTTCATACTATTCGGACTGATATCACACGTTTGGTGCACAATAAAAGGCAAATCGGACGAAGATATATATGAGAGCTATATCTAAATTTTGGCCGATTATCTCCAATTTCAATAGGGTTCGTCCTTGGGCCAAACAAATGATTTGTGCAAAATTTCATCTGAATAGGGCAATAAATGCGAACTGTACTTTGTTTACAAAAATACATGGACAGACGGACGGACATGCATAAATCGACTCAGGATGTGATTCTATGCAGATCATAAAAAGGAACTATGCATCTAACTCCTTTCCTTTTGCCTATTACAAACAAATACACAAAGACATAATACCCTGATCACCTTGTGGTGTAGGGTATAAAAATAGAAAATTCGGAAGGGATTTTAGTGTGTGCAACATATCGACAAAGGGATGTATATGGATCAATTTTGATTTTTGCAGAAAGCTCTTTACCTATTTTAATTAGAAGTCGACAGTCTCAACGGAAGCCATGAATTTAACTGAAGTAAAAATTATTTTCAAGTGCCGAAAGTGTAAAACGAACGTATGCCCCTCCTGTTAAAGGAGATTAGACCCCAAATTTTATAAATTTCACTTTCAACAATATTTCCTCCTACTTTCCGCTCCTTTCCAATTTAAATTTCCATTTGAAAGGGGTTCATTAACTTGCCATTGCTTTATGGTTGTTTAATAAAAAGATACGCCTAAAAGTAGGCAACATTATTTGTTTGCAAAACAGCAAATCTATATCAAACCAAATTTTAAAATATTTTTAACTGAAATAAATTTTTTCGACCTCAGGGCTCACACTTTGCCAACTTTCTTTCCCGTTCGGTTTATCTCTCTATCCCTCTCTCCTGGAAAACTTTTCAAATTGCAACATCCAATCAATTTTCTAAATCGCCTTTGCTATCTTTTGCCAATATCAAATTATTTTGCCTGCCCCACCCGTAATGGTTCGGAATAACCGGAACTAGCTTTTGGCAAATTTACGTGACCCTGTCATTTCGCTAATTTCTTAAACCATCACCACATCCTCATCCTTCTGTCAATCGGTCACATGGTAACATACTTTGCCGTGGATATATGCCAACTTTGTTGTTTACTGCCATCGTAGCCATAGCTGAGTTTCGAGTCACCCACACCGCTATTTTCATTGAAGACACATTTTTTGGAGCACCAGCCTACTTGCATCACTCCCTTGGTATGTAGCTGAACCTGGAGGCGATAAAAGAAGAGGAAAACGGAAGTAAAATTCATAACAAGAAATAAAAGCAAAAACAAAAACACAACAAAGAAAGTGAAAGTGGTTTTGATTGTTTTGTTTACATCTCACACCGATGTGGTGTGCATGCCACATGGAGAGGGTGGCCTGCCACAACAGGCATGCTTCGTAGGAAAGCCCTCCCCACGCACACACACCATTACAACCACTCAAATCAAAGGAGACCAAGAAAGGTCATTGATTCTTGTGTCGTGTGTCGGCGGATACCAGCCAAACCAAACCAATCATAACAATAACAAAAACCACCAAAACTAGGACAATTACCTCATACATCCAACGACCGCCGAAAACGCAAACATTGGCTTTTATCGTATTGAAACTACCCTGCGAACGGACCGTCAAACGGTCGTTGGCTATGCGCACCGTTGATGAAAAATCAATATCGAATATGACAAATTCCGGTCCTAGCCTTGACCGCATTTCCAATTGTTGCTGCAAGACGGCATCACGGCAGCTGTTGTCTATATCCTCGAGTTTTCCCTTCAGCCATGACTTCACCAAAACCATTTGTCTGCAATAAGATAATTGGCTAAATTTAGAACTAAAACAAAAGGATGACAAACAGGGATAATTGATGGTAGTACACATTTAATTACATACTCTGGCAATGTAAGACCACCACCATCGCAGGCTCCAGCTCCCGAGGTAGGCCTTTTGGCTTCGTCATCATCATCATCACCCTCCGGATTTAGACTTGTGAAAATATCTTCACCGAAAACTTTAACAAATAATTTTGCAATAGACATGGTGTTTGTGTTGTTTTTGCACTGCTCTTCCTTTTGTTCTTATTGTTGTAAATTTATTAACAAAACGAACGAATTTGTTACAAATTTATTTGCAATTTTCTCGACATTCCAATTTAGAGAATTTTTTTTAAATTTTAATTTTTAAGAACAGCTTTGAATATATGTATATACTCGGAAAAAAATTGAAAACCCGAGACCGTCTCTCGGAAGTTTACATCCGCTCTGTTACACTTGTCACTGTCACACTGCACTGAAAGACGTCCCCAACGAAACAAATAAGAAAGATAAAAAATGAAATGCCCGATAAAAAATAAAAAGAAAGCAAAATTGCCAAGTACCTCTGTTTGTTTACGAAAAAGATACAATGAATGATAAAAATCCAAATCAAAACAAAACCGCCAAATGTTTATAGTAGGGTTCTCCAGATCGTAGGGTCTTAGAAGCGAGCTAACAGCTGATATTACTATAGCGACAACTGGGTGACACAACAAATACATATTAGTTATACTATGTTCTAACGGCATGTTATTCTCTCTCTCTATTTATTAATAGGGATGTTTTAAGGGATACATGAAAAATCTTTGAGAGCAAAAAAATATACAAAATTCAGATAAATGCATGAAATCTTACTTTGTGTTTGAAGAATGTTTTTATACAAATATTAACCGGGACTATTTATCAAATAGTCCATCCCTCCAGTCCATCCCTCTTGTCCAATTTTGGCATACTCTTACTACATTTCTCTTTCTTACATTTCTCTGTTCCAGAACTGCAAGAATGTAAAAATGATTTCTATAACCGATTTTCCCTTTATCATTTCCCTCCGATCAGCACTCGGAGCTTTCAAAAAGAAGTGTAGCCTTTTTTCCTTGATGATGATGGAACATCATCGATTATTTCTTGGTCGTAGTCAATGAGGTCCTTGTGGACCTCCAAAATGATCAATTATAATAAGTTTGACGTATGTTTATACCCTCAGCCATATGGCTAGAGAGGCTATATATCATTTCATACTTCCAAAACGTGCCTCATCGAAATAACGGTTTTAGACCGTAGGTATCTTTGAACCAAATCCGTTTCAGGACATTTGGAGTTGATATAGCGATATCCGTCCGTCTTTCTGTCCGGCTGGTGCGAACAATAACTATCGAAGGGAGTATACGATTTGATCCAAACTTGGTACATCGTAATATTATTAACAAACTTATATCGAGTTCGGAAATGTGCAATGTCGATACACTCCTTCTGATACCTCCCACACAAAATGTCAACATTTTCAAAGAAAATATTTTACTGCCCAGAAGGAGATTTTGCTCCAACTTTGCGAAGACTAATATTTGCATCAGTGCTAGGTCAGTTGTGAAAATGGACAATATCGGTCCACACCATCAAGAACCTTCCGACCAAAGGAAATTTTGAATAATTATAACTTTTATAAAATGTGATGTAAAGGTGAGAGGTGTTACACATCATAGATAGCCGCATAGAGCCGCACTCGAATCCTGCCGTCGTTTCTCCATATAAATTGACATTAATATGCCGTGATGCCAAGCTGCTTATATATTCACACCTTAAAGAGCTAAGTACATAAGAAGTTTGAAGTCATGGCTAGGCATATTTTGTGACATTTCACAAAGGGATTACAGAGCCGCACTAAAATCCAGCCATGACTTCAAGCTTCTTATGTACTTAGCCCTTAAGAGTCAGATTGTCTTCAAATTTAACACATCACAATACTTTTATTAACCAATGGTCTGCTGTGAAGATTGAATATATCGGTCCACTCCTTCTGATACCTCCCCCACAATGGGTCAAAATCTATGAAGCTCATACAACTCTATAAGATTCCCTTCAGACTTTTGTGTTAATTGACATCTCAATATGTCAATTAACACAAAATCTGTTATAAAGATGTTAGAGATCGGACCATTCTACCTGGTACCTCCCCCACAAAGGGTCATAGTTTGGAATAACCAAAACTTTTATAAAATTTGAAATAATCAACCAGTTCTCTTCATATTTCACACATCCTATTATTTCTACTAAAACAAGGTGTGATGTGAAAAACGGATATATCGGTCCACTCCTTCTGGTACCTCTAAATGGTCAAATTATTATGGAAAACAACGGCAGGATTTTAGTGCGGATCTGTTATACCTTTATCACATATCACAAAATATGCCTAGCCATGACTTCAAGCTTCTTATGACCTTACACCTTAATTTAAGCTTTTATTTTTTTAAAAATATTTTTGAAAGATGTTTTTTGGATAGTCATTATTGTTAACGAACATTAACTTGCATCCGCTTAGAGTTCAAGCTGCGCTTCACTTTTTTAATAGGGACAATTGTCAGCAAACAGACAAATTAGAAAAAAATTAATAACGACTCATATTGGTCAGCCATTGTGAACTATTCCATCTGTTTAAAGCGGTAAAATTTTCGATCTGTAGAACCCTGTTATTTACTGGATTTTATTTTGATTTTCATGTTTATTACTCATTACGCTTTTTTATTTTCTTTTCATATTTCTACGGCGGCGATTTTCCAATCAGAGCTTTGGGTTTTTCGAATTCATGTTTTAGTTGTCATTCGCAGGTGTTGACGTAGATGATTCCATTGCATTGCACCTTTTTAATTAAAACTCTAATAGAATTGTTTATAAAAAATAAATATAATTAACGAAAATGTCAACAGATTGGGATGAGGTCAAACGATTGGCAGCCGATTTCCAGAAGGCTCAGCTAACATCAACTTTGCAGAAGTGAGTATTAGAGAGTCGATCGTTGTCTGGGTAGGAAAGTGCCAACTAAACTGTTCCATAAGGATTTCAAATTACCTATAAAATGTGTCTCACAACTTGATTCTGTTATCCTTTTTGTCCCACCTAGATTATCCGAACATAATTGCGTTGAAATTGTCACCTTGCTGCTGGAGAAAAAACTAATTGAGGTGGTCTTTACAAACGATGGTAAAGAATATATAACACCCGAGCATTTGGAACGTGAGGTACAAGATGAGCTCTATGTGAACGGAGGCCGTGTTAATTTGGTGGAAGTTAGCAAAAATTTAAATGTAGACCTTAGTCGGGTATGTATGGAACCACCGGCCAATCCGTAATATTATGTAAAATTGTAATTTTTCACAGATTGAAGAGGTGGCCAAGAAAATTGCCTTGGAAAACCCAACCATTCACCACATCTTGGGTCAATTGATAGACGAAGACTACATCACCTATATTGCCCAGGAGATCAATGAAAAGTTGGCACAAAAAGGTGAAATATCTGTCAATGATTTGACTGAACAGTTTGATCTGCCATCGGACTTCTTGCAACGGGATGTGTTGGAAAAACATTTGGGCAAAATTATCAAGGGTCGTCAAGATCCCTCAAATCCCAGGGTCTTTTTCACACAAGCCTATTTGCAAAGATGTAAGGCCAAAATACGTGGTGCCTTGGCCGCTTTAACCAGACCCACAAATGTCTCAGCCATACTGCAACAAATTAATATTCAACAGAAAATCTTCCACACATTGGTGGATGAGATAAATCCAGCCGGCCATGTTACATCGAAATTGGCCAATGCCCAGTATGTGCCGAATGTCTATGCCAAAATGCAATCAGATTGGGTTAATAATTTCTATCGTCAAAATGGTTTCCTGGAATATGATGCCATTAACAAATTGGGCATCACCAATGCCAAGCAATTTATTAACAAACAATTCCCCGATGAGGAGTTATTGTACCTGAAGCGATGTGCTGTCAGCTCTAAGTTAATTGATTTGACTGTTATGCCTGCCCTGTCGGCAGCCAAACAATTTGTCGATTTATCCACCCTGTTGCCTTCGAACATGACATCCTCCGATAGGGAGGAGCTTTTTGAGGCCATAATGTCGAAAAATACCTCAGCTCTGCCGAATTTTGTGTTAATTGGAGCCAATTCGGGATCTTCGGTGGTATTTACACCACAATATTTGGAGGAGTTGACACAACCTTGTCGTGAATTGGCCTGTAGTAAGGCAAAGGCTTCCGTTGACAGCGGTAGTTATCAGCAATATATTGCTACCAAGGCATTGGCGGCCAAGTCGGCCCAACGTCGTGGTGGTGATGATGATGACGATGATAAGTTGGATAAACGTGATGAGCGCCGCAAAAAAGCTGTCTCTGGCAAGGCCGGTGGTGGAGCCCAGGGACGTGAAACTAAAACGAAATCTACCAAGAAACATCCCCGCGGCGGCAAAAAGGGAGGTAAAAATGATTTCGACAGTGATGATGACGATGAGGTTGGAAACTCTAGAGCTGGTGGTAATAGTAGCAGTGGCGCCAAGAAACAATTGGAATTGGTTACCATTAATGATATTGTCAAGATATTGGAAAAGGAAACTTCGTCACTGGGTATAGATGATTTGAATGAAGATATTGCCAGCATGTATCATGAGTAAGTTCAATGGAATCTATTAAAAATGTCTTTGAATTGGTCCTAAATTTTTATAGCCTACACCACATAGTGGTAAGGGTATTATGTATTTGTGCATTTGTTTGTAACATGGAGAAGGAAGCGAGATAGACCCATAGTTACTTTTGAGGATCTTCATAGCATCACTTTCTGAGTCGATTTATGCATGTCTGTCTGTCCGTCTGCCCATGTATTTTTGCAGATCGCATTTATTATCCAATTGAGATGAAATTTTCCAAACAATATTTGTCTGCCCCAAGGACGAACCCTATTGAAATTGGTGATTTTCGAATCAGATTTAGATATAGCTCCCATATATATCTTCAACCGATTTCGGGTTAATTGTGCACCAAATAGCCAATATCTGTCCAAAATACCTAAATTTTGGTACATCCGACCAAATTCAGTCCAGAAGCAAGTACATCAAATTTGGTGAAAATCGGTTAAGATATAGCTATAGCTCTCATATATATGTTTCATCCGATTTGGTGTTTTAGTCCCCCACATTCGTAATATGCATTCGACAAGAATGATATTAAGTACCAGATATCTTATAGAGCTCGGAAATACCTCCGCCGAATTTTATCAATATCGGTTCAGATTTGGATATAGCTCCCATATATATCTTCAACCGATTTCGGGTTAATTGTGCACTAAATGGCCAATATCTGTCCAAAAGTCCTGAATTTTGGTACATCCGACCAAATTCAGTCTAGAAGCAAGTACATCAAATTTGGTGAAAATCGGTTCAGATATAGCTATAGCTCCATACATATGTTTCATCCGATTTGGTGTTTATGTCCCCCACATTCGCAATATGCATTCGACAACAATGACTTTTGGTACCAGATATCTTATAGAGCTCGGAAATACCTTTGCCATATTTTATCGAGATCGGCTAAGATTTGGATATAGCTCCCATATATATCCTTAATCCGACTTCAGTATAGGTATGTAGTAAAACTATTTTGTCACGGGAGCTCTACTAAATAAGGATAGTGGTGTAGGGTATCATATAGTCGGCCCAGCCCGACTTTTGAATTTTCCCTACTGGTTTAAATGTAGATCTGTTTTCTTTGAAAAAAAAAAAAAAATATTTAAAAAATCTTCCATTTTCCAAATATATTTGATAAAATCTCTAATTTCGAAGTAAAAAAATTTAGAAAAAATTTAATTTTCGATTTTCTTCCATAGTCAACTCAATCAATTGGCCTTGGCCAAGGCCCAGGAGTTATATGAAATCACCCTGCAGAAGAGTGCTGCTGGTAGTGGTCAATCCCATGCTAGTGTACAAGAGAAAATCAATACATTGTTGGTCGATTTAAGGCTCTATGAAAAGGGTCTGAAGGTATGCAGTATCAAGTTATTTAAAAAAAATTTTAAAATATAATTTTAATTTTTTTTTCACTAGCTCTTCCCCGCCAATGCCCAACAGGATTTGATGAAATATTTGCTCAAATCCCTTGGCAATGATATCAGCAATGAGCTGATACTCTACATTGCCAATGAATGTCAAATTGAGGTAAAAAATTCCAACTTAAATGTGGATCAACGTAACAAATTGGCTCAAGAGTGTGGTAAGATTTGCCAAAAATAATATCCTGTTTTAAAAATATATATAAATATCATTCCAGGTGGCGATTACAAAACCGTTCTGCTGGAACTCAACAAGGCCATTAACAAGACAATTGATGAATTCGTCTTGGCCACAGAAAATGTTCTGAAAATATGCAGTATGATTGTCAAGAAGGTTGACAAGAAAAAGGATCGTCAATTGATAATACAACACCGTGAAAAATTACTGGAACAACTGCAACAATGTTCGGAACCTGCATTGATATTGCATTTAACTTCATTGATTTTAATCACCACCATTACGGGTTGCATTCTGCATGCCAGCGGCAAATTTGTATCACAAATTTTGGCATTTATTAATCCCTCAATGGCCGATGAACAAAATAAATTGTTGGCCAAGTATCATGGTAGGGTTTTTGGAAGAATTGAAAATGAATTTTGTTTTATAGCTCTTTTTTTCTCCCCCATTTAGATTTGGTTATCAGTGTCTTACGTTTATCCGCCGATTCTGAGGAATATTCGGCGGCAAACAATGAATTGTCTGAACTGGAACCCCAAATCAAACAATTGGCGGCAACATTTGAAAAGCCTGGTGTTTCAAAATCAGAGTAAATTGTTGTTGTTGCATTTGTATATAATTCCAAAATATTGCAATATTTGTTTTATTTTTTTAATTAGTTTTCTTTGGTTCTTTTAGAAACTTCCTGTAAAGTTTGAGATTTTTATATTATTTTTTTAGTAAAGGATTTTGAGCTTAACTATATGGAATTATTTTTCGGGAAGCAGACATTTGCAAATTTAAAACGAATTGGAAAAGGAAACCATAGGGAAATGGAGTTATTTTTCGTGAATCGCTCATTTTTATACCTTGATCGAAATCGGATTGGAAGCCATCACGAATTATACAATTTAACATATTTGCATTTAAAGTTATTTTGCGACGAATACAAATATTATTTTCGTCCTCGTCTGCAATTGAAATGTTCGTTTAAATTAAAAAACAAGTGAAAAAGATGTAAGTTCGGCCATGCCGAATTTTTAATTCCCTCCACCATATGGAATGAATATGGCAATTTTCAAAAAAATAAAATCGTTTAAAAACTCTGTTAAAATCTTAAAAATTCCGAAATATTAGGGTCAATACGACGACGTGGACCTGCATAGGCAAATTTTGTCATGAGCCATTACAATAATGCGACTATAATCATAAAAATACCGAATATAGGGAGGCTATTCCAAAACGTGAACCTTGCACAACTAATATTCTGTCATAGGATGTAGTATCCACTACGAACTTCAAATACCAAATTCGAAACAATTCCGGTGAATAAAGTAGCTAAAATGATCAAAATACGGAATATCTGGAGGTACCGTTATATGGGGGCAATACCAAAACGTGCACATGCACAGACAATTTTCTGCCATAGGCTGTAGCATCCATTACGAACTTCAGATACCAAATTTGGAACGATTCCGGTGAATAAAGTCGCTAAAATCATCAAAATACCGAATATCGGGAGGTACAGGCTATACGAAGACTTGGACCTGCACAGACAATTTTCTGTCACAGGCTGTAGTATCCATTAAGAACTTCAAATACCAGATTTGGAACAATTCCGGAGAATAATGTCGCTAAAGTCATCAAAGTACCGAAAATAGGGAGGAACCGTTATATGGGGGCTATACGAAGACGTAGACCTGCACAGACAATTTTCTGCCATAGGGCGTAGTATCCATTACGAACTTCAAATACCAAATATGAAACAATTCCGGTGAATAATTTAGCTAAAATCATCAAAATACCGAATATTGGGAGATGCCGTTGTATGTGGGCTATACGAAGACGTACCCCAGCACAGACAATTTTCTGCCATATGGCGTAGTATCCATTACGAACTTCAAATACTAAATTTGAAACAATTCCGTTGATATCTTCCACCAAAACCAATACCTTCTTTTAAGTCCATCGGGTTTATGCCTTGACACTACCTTCATTGTCATCCCAAGAACAAACATTCAAATTTGAGCATTTTCGAAAAGAAATCTTCTCTTAAGTGTATTGAAAATTTGGAAAACTATTCTTTTAGAATATACAAAAAAAACGGCTAAAACAATATTTATATTTATACGAAGAGTGTTATTCTGGTTTACTGATTCCGCAAATGCAACAATATGTTGTATTTAAAGTTAAAAAAACTAATTTTTATATTCATTGATGGAAAAAAAAACACCGTAAAATAGTTTTAATTGCTATGTAGTCTTTGCAAGATTTGTTTAGCCTTATCACTAGTTTGCCTAAAAGAAAAGAGAACGATTAGACCCTTCAAACGGAGAGTTTTTCAAAAAATACTTACATAAATACAGGATTATTAGCATCACAAGATTCCATTGTCTGCTTAATGTACAATATAAAAAGTTGTAGATTTTTCAAGCATTCCGAATCCGGTTGCAGCCAGGCAGTGGGTAAGGTATTCACAATTGTATAAGCTTTACTTATAGCATCAATTGGTGTACAGACCTAGAAAAAAGGGGAACAAAAATTAGGATCATTATCCTTAAATAATTTAATGGAATACCCACCCTCATGGCCATAAGTAAATAACGATTTAATAGGCAACCAATTGCCATTTCCCTTAGAGGGGTATCCGCAATAATACCCTGCCAGGAGAGGAAATTGCGAAACAATTTCAAACCACTGCAAAATTGTCGTTGAAAAAATGAGGTCTTATTCTCTGAAACTCTGTAGGAGAAAAACAAAAAGAATTATTAACAATTTTTCTCATCAGAAAAGTGTTTTCGAATTCCTACTGTTTTGGAAATATGGGTATAAAAACATCATTCTCCAGGGCATTTTTCATTTTCTCCAATATTGCCTTGAACAGCTGCTGCAATGATTTTGTTGACTCTTTCAGGGGATAATCGCGACCCAAACGATTTATGAAACCAATTAAACGCAAGGTTTGTGTGGTCGACAAAGGATCCCAGCAATGGGTTACAATATCTAATTATAAAATCAAATGATTAATTTATTTCTATTTACAACCTCTTTAGAATTTTCCGTTTACCTGTTATTTTTGGTAAAATAATTTTCTCTATGAGTGTTGGCACCAAATTTACATCTGGATCTTGTCTTAACGACTCCTCACTTTCGTTTTCATTCCAGGCATATAATATACAGGCAGGATACCAATTTAGTTTTTCAATATCTTTGTAGTCTGCCAACAGGGGAGACCATGTTAGCATTTCCAAACGGATAAGGGGTCCCAAAATCTATTTAAAATTGGAAATTATTTTGAGTTCATAAACTTTATAAAAATGAAAACATACCTTGGGCAAACAAAGACTAACAAAAGCATCTTTATACGAACTCATGTCGGTTTGTCGCCAAGCATGGAATTTGGATAGAATTATAAAAGGTTTGCAAAAATCATCCGTTACATCGTCCATCACCTCAAGGCCTTCTTTGATCAGCTCCTCTGCAAAACAAAATATTTTGATAAAAAAAATGAGTAAATCTAGAATTTATCGAAACATACCCAATTCATTTTGAAATTGCTCTTGATAACGATCCGATGTCTCCTCGTCCGAAGACATACCATCCAAATGGGAAGACAATGTGTTTTGTCGTTCCCTTTCACAGCGACGGCGTGTGCGACGTCCCTCTCTTTCAGCTGCTCGACGAATCTGTTCATCATGTTCAGGGCCTTTGCGTACAGTTGAGGGTTCTGGAAAATTAAGATTAATTTTAATCAGTCATCTAAACGACTTTTAATGTTGTCTTTCGTTAAAAGTTCTTTTGAGACCTTGTGAAGATTTCTTTAAAAAAAACTTCCTAATGTCTTCTAAAGGGTAAGATGAAAAAACTGCAACCAACTTCAGACTACTGTCATTTCTAAGTCACTCGTCCGACAGATGTTAAAATTATTCCAGTGACAGCTCATTACGTTATTTACAAGCCTACAAAAGCATTTTGCTGAGAATTTTCCAGAAAAAAAGTTATTCGTGATGGAATTCAGGGGGGATAGTATGATTTCTTTGTATTTGGCTGGAGAACCACAAGTGGCTATCGTTGGAGCACTCCAGCATTTAAATTTGAATAAATCTTTTGTGTCTCGTACCATCGCTCGTTACCATGATTCTGGTAGCGTAGCCCGACATTAATGAAGTGGACGGAAGAAAACAGCAACATCAGCAGAAATGGTTCGAAAAGTAAAGAAGTGGCCGAAAAAGGGCTCGTGAGCTGAACATATCGCAATATTCTATTCGGCAAATATTGAAGAATGAGCTCGGGCTAAAGCCTTTGAAATTCCAAAAAGTGCAAGAAATTTCACCGTAAAATAAAGAAAATGGACTCAGAAGAACTAAAGAGTTGCTTCGCTTGGCCGGAAGTGGTGAATTGCCGAATTTGGTTTTCTCCGATGAAAAAACATTCTCCACAGTTGTCCAGCAGTTTGTAAACAAACAAAATGATTGTCTTTACTTGCCAAAGAGGTCAGCTGACAAATGTGCACTTTCGGTTGGCCACCAGAACTCAAGCGCCGGCCATGGCGACAGTGTGGACCATATTAATCGACCGTGGCATCAACATAAATGCCGAATATTATCGCGAAAATATTCTGGAGGGTGTATTAAAGCCTTGGGCACGCTAACATTTTGGCCGCAGAAAATCAGAAAATTTGAATTAAATTTATTTGAGAATTGAGAACAAAGAACAAATCTTTTAAAGCACTCAAAATTTCTGGCATACATTTTTGGAAAAATTAGAAAAAAAAATTTAAAAAAAAATTGAAAAAAAAAATAAAAATTAAAAAATTAAATTACATTTATTTGAGGATTGAGAACAAAGGAAAAATCTTTTAAAAAACTCACAATTTTTGGCATAAATTTTTGGTAAATTTAGAAAAAAAATTGAAAAAAAATAAAAAAAAATAATTAAAAATTTAAATTAAATTTATTTGAAAATTGATGACATAGTAAAGATCATTTAAAACATTTGAAATACACTTTTGGAAAGTTTAGAAAAAAATTGAAAAAAAAAAAAAAAATAAAAAAATTAAAAAAAAAAATTACATTTATTTGAAAATTGAGTACAAAAAAAATCTTTTAAAATACTCAAAATTTCTGGGATACATTTTCGGAAAATTTAGAAAACAATGCAAAAAATTGAAAAAAAAAAAACTAAAAATTAAAATTTTTTGGGCCTGTTTTTTAATGACGATTTGGTTGTGAAAACAAAAAAAAACACCATACCAATAGAGTTTTTCAAATTTTATTTATTTACTTTTTTGTTTCAAAATTTTTCCAAAAAAATGAAAATCATGACCAAAAATGGTCACAAAATGAGGTTCCTCGCTCTATTTTCAGCGCACAATGTCCACCATCCCGTTGGACTATTGTGTCTGGAGTATTTTGGAAAGCAAGGTTGGCACTAAAACATACCAAAATGACGATCACCTCAAGCAAGCGCTTCGCCGGGAATGGGCTAAAATACTGCAGAGCAACATTAGGGCAGCGTGTGACGGTTTCATTGGCCGTTTTAAGGCCATAATTCGTGCTAAAGCTGACCAATTCGAAAAAATCTAAACTTATTCTAAAATTTGATGCTATTTTCGACATTTTTCGCTTTCATTCAATAAAATTTAAAAAAATGTAAAAATCATCAAATCAAATCTAAACTTATTCTAAAATTTGACGCTATTTCCGATTTTCGTTCAATAAAATTTAAAAAAATGTAAAAATCATGACGTTTGACTTTGTTGCAGTTTTTTTTTATCTCACCCTGTATTTATAGTAGGCCTTTTGAGGCTTTTTAATTACAGAATTCTTTTTTGTGGCCTTCGCAAAACATAAGTCCTTTTGAGGCTTTTTAATTACATAAATCTTATTTTGTGTTCTTCTTAAAAGATAACTCCCCTTGCGGTTTTCTATAAAAAGATCTTTTGCGGAATTCATTCTACAAAAAAAAACTTTTTATGGTCTATTCATAGAAGACACTTTGAAGTATTCTATCTAATCAAGAGGTATTGATTAGGTCTTTTATCTAACCAAAAAGTGATTAGCTTTTGACGTCTTTCTATAAATCAGCTATTTATTCAAAACGTTGTGAAGTCCAGTTTCTTTAAAACCTTCTATAAATATAATCGAATCCTATGAATAGATTTCCTCAAAAGGTCTTCTAAATGTAGAACTACTCAAAAAATCTATTTTCTGCTTGGGGAGTCCTTCTCCTGATTGACAAATATGGTGTCATTTTTCAATACTTACTTGCTGCTTCGGCCATTTCTCTTGCCTGATCTCTGACATCCTGTCGGCGACGTTCGATTAGAAAATGCTGATGTTTACCAAAAAACACAATACATCTTTTTTCCAGGTCATTAATGGCAGAGATCTAAAATAAAAGAGGAACAATTGTGAAAATTATTTACTCAAAGACTATGAAAGAAAAATCCCTACCTTTTCATTTAGACAATCCACCAAATCGGTAACATAACATTTGATCTCCTGATAGAAACGATATTTAGCTGCTGCTGCCGGGGCCTTCTGTTTTGCATCCATTTCCTCCAATTGCATGGCTTTCATTTCCTGTTGCACACGTTCAATGTCACTCATATGCCTGGCATTTAGTTCCTTTAGCTTGTTAAGCCTTTCATTGATGGCTTCACGAATCTCTTGGGGCGAACGTAAGGCTGCTGTTTTGGTTTTCTCCTTTTTCGGTTTGGTAACACTCAACAATTGCTGCGGCCTCTCCAATGTACACTTGGCATAGGCCTGCTCCAGCAATGATGATGTCGATTTGACTTCTGGCGGAGCTTCAATGGCCTTGTCGGCACTTGATTTAATCATAAATCTCGACAACACCGATTCATTTTGAGCATTTACCAATTGGGCACCGGTGACACCTTTGCGTATTTGTTGATTTTCCCATTCATGTGTCTCACAATCCGAGTCCTCATCCGAACCTAGGGAAAGGTGGAAAACTGAAGTTATAGTGGCGTTTAAGAAGTTTTGCGTGTTTGTTTCTCATTCACATCATCATGAGATTTGTTTAGAAATTTAGCAACTTGTGGTCTTAAAGGCCTTACAAACCGTAACCTTGTTTGATTTCTAATTACATACAATCTTTCTCAACGGCATAGAATTTTTCACGCCTTTCTTCACGTTCCTTTATGCCAGTTATGGCATTCATATCCATACGTTCCTCATCATCCGAGTTGTCACCTTCCATATCTTCCCGGGCCAAACGGCTGCCCTTTTTGGTGTCCACTTTTGGTTCCTCAACGGCAATGAAATCACCTAAAGAATTGAAATTATAATAAAAATGGTTTCCTGGGAATATTTCAAGCATCACCTACCTTGTTCACGGGCCTTTTGTCTACGCTTGCGTGCGGCATGTATCATTGCAGCATCGGGTATAGATCCACTTTCAAGCATTTGTTTCAAATGATCCGGTTTGGCAAAACGATGTCTACTACCATCGCCATTTCTTTCGCTATCGCTATGATCGGAATCTTCATCTGACATATCATCACGCCCAGCACACAATGCCGCCCGTCCATTGAGGATAATATTTGGTTCGGTTTTTTTAACCACCAGCTGTGAATCAATTGCGGTGAAAAATATAGATTAGCGATGTCAGGAAGTGATTGGTTTTTCTAAAGGAGGTAAAGAGGGTAATATTCCTACTAATATTAAAATGTTCGACCAAGCCGAACCTTGTGTACCCTTAATGGAAGACCATTTTAAAGGTTGCTTTTATTTAAAAGAAAAATATTTTCAAATATACAGGGTGAGATGAGAAAACTGCAACCAACTTCAGACTCGTCACTCGTCCGACAGCTGTTGAAATTATTCCAGTGACAGCTCATTATATAGTTTACAAGCGTACAAAAGCATTTTGGTGAGAATTTCCTAGAAAAAGTTATTCGTGATGAAATTCAAGAGCACTCCAGAAAACTCCAGCATCGCTAAAGCGTAACTTCGCTTGTCCGAAAGTGGTAAACTGCCGAACTTGGTTTTCTTCGATGAGAAAACATTCATTGTACAGCAGTTTGTAATCAAACAAAATGATCGTGTTTACTTGCCAAAGAGGTCAGTTGAAAATGTGCATCTTCGGTTGGCCACCAGAACTCAAGCGCCGGCCATGGTGATGATGTGGGCCGCTATAACAGCCAATGGTCACTCTCCGCTCGTATTAATCGATCGTGGCATCAGCATAAATGCCGAATATTATCGCGAAAATATTCTGGAGGGTGTATTAAAGCCTTGGGCACGAAAAAAATTTTGGCTGAAGACCTTGGACATTCCAACAGGACCCAGTACCACCCAAGAATGGTTACAAAACGGGGTTCCTCGCTTCATTTCCAGCGCACAATGGCCGCCAAAATCTCCGGATACCAATCCGTTGGACTATTGTGTCTGAAGTATTTTGGAAAGCAAGGTTGGCAGCAAAAAATACCAAAGTGTCGATCACCAAGCGTTTCGCCGGGAATGGACCAAAATACCGCAGAGCAACATTCGGGCAGGATGTGACGGTTTCATTGGCCGTTTGAAAGCCATAATTCGTGCCAAAGGTGACCAATTCGAACAAATCTAAATTTATCCTAAAATTTGATGCTATTTCCGATATTTTTTGCTTTCATTCAATAAAACTAAAAAAAAAATTAAAATATGGCGTCTGATTTTTTTTTGCAGTTTTTTTTATCTCACCCTGTATTCAAATATACAAGACACTTTAAAAAGGTTATTCTATTCATAAAAGACTTGAGCGAAGCCTCCCATCAATAGGATACCTCAGGAAGGATCTTCATCATCAGACATTTTGATATGTCTCCGGACTATTGAAGGCCTTCGAAAGGGTCTCGTATCTTTCAAAGGAAGACCTTTCAAGACACCTATTATTGGCAAGCTTCTTGAAAAATCTTCAATGTACAGTAGAATCATCCTTCTATAGAGGATATTTATTCTTGGTATTAATTAAATAAGGTGACCTTTAGTTAATTGATTGCTACGCCAATTTAGTTTCTGCATTGTGACCATTCTTTTCAAAACATTTATCATTTTGAAAAGCATGTTACTTTTCAAATACCAAAATTTTGTTTTTGAATGAATATTTTAAAATAGATTCTTAAAATATTCTCTTTGTTTGCATTAATCGAGTTTTTTGGTTTTGTTTTTTTGATTGGTAAGGTGAGCATAAAAAATGATAATAATAACCTTACCACAAAGTCGTCTGTGCGTATTTCTGTTTGGATACTATCACTTTTATTACTTTTCTTATTTTGTTCCGAAGAACTTGTTGACGTTGTCGACGCTGATGTAGATGAACCTAAATTATGAGAATCATTATTAAGACGTGATGAACCGTTTTCACGATTCGAATTAGCACTGTCGCTTGTCTGATGACCACCACCACCAAATCCGCTACTGCTGCTGGAATAATTCTCAGCACTGCGTTCCTCTTTCTTTTTGCGACGTCGTTCTTTGTCCATCATGCGCATAACTTTTTTGCTGTGGGAAGATTTGCGTACTTGGAACACTTCGCCATCGTCCTCTGGAAAAAAGAAACAAAACACATAGATTAGAAGAATATAATTTTGTTAATATTTTTTTTTTTTGGAACAGTTTCTCCAACACACAAAACAACTCTAAAGATGAGGGTACATATGCAGCTTGGCATTATGGCTAGGCATATTAATGTCAAATTATAAGGGAAACGACGGCGGGATTGGATTGCGGTTCTGGCATCCCTTTATGATATTTCACAAAATATACCATGCCAAGACTTCAAGCTGTTTATATACCCACACCTTGAATATTCAGGAAGAGTAAGTTTGCTTCTATCTAGAAAACATTTTAGATATTCCGAGTTACTGCAATGTATATTACATAGAAGTAGGTATAAACATTTAAATGATAGGAATATAAATCGAAACTAAAACCTCCATGCATTACAAAACTTTCAAGTTCAGGTATGCAATTAAAAATTATATTCCTATTCATATACGATGTTATACTTGTTCCTTCTCCATTTTTTGGAAAATCTCCAAAATTTCCATCATCATAATTATCATTTGCATGGCAAATTATAACTCATCTTTCTTTCTGTTGTTGTACAAACAACCCTCCCCATCCCCACGACCCAATAACCCACTTAATTATTTAGGCACGCGATGCATTTCTAATTACCTTCGTCTGCAAAACTTAAAAGTGCTTTCGTTTTGCTGGCATCTGTTCCAGCTGCACTGCCACCACCACCGCTGCCACTGCTACTTTTGGAAGATTTCGATTTTCCATCTTTATGCTTCTTCGATTTACTGGAGATATGTGGCGGCGGTGGAGCTATAAGCTCATCACCATCATGATCCATATCATCGGATGCATCGTTTTTCTTTTTACTACCATAACCACCATCATTGTTTTCCCTTGCTGCTCCGGTTCCGGTTGCCGTACCCAAATCATCTTCATCATCATCTAGGGCACTTGAGAAAACTCTTCTTTGTATCTTTTTCGGTTTACGAAACAATGACATTCTGTTTGCGGCTGTATTGTAAAGCGGTAAACTTCTATTCCGTACAAAATATTTATAGTTAAATGTAGTTTTTCCGGTTTTTGCAAAAACTGCTTGGGAAATTCTATCCTCTCCGTCTATAGAAATGCTTCTTCTTATAATGCATGAGACTCTTCTTCTTTTGATTTGCAAAGTAAAATGATAGCAAATGGCACAATATACACTTATCTATTGTTGTCTCTTTCTAATTCACAAAGATATAGACTATGCTACTTGCACTTAAATTAACAGCTGATACAAACAATAGGTATACGGGTGGGTCGATAATAACAATGCTTGCTGCCGGCATGTTACATTGGCTCACAGATTATTATGCATACGGAATGGGGTGGCTTTCGTTGTCAAACGTTAGGCAGAGTGTTGCCAGTAGGAAAATTTCTTGTGTTAATAGTAACCCTTAAATGTTGATGTGAGACAAAATTTAAAGAAGCAATATACACTCAGAATTATTGTTTTCTTTTTCTAATACACGATGAGATAGACTATGCTACTTGCACATAAGTTAACAGCTGATAAAAACAATATGTATAAGGGAGGTTCGATAATCACAAGACTTGCTTTCAGCCTGTTACATTGGCTCACAGATTATTATGCACACGGAATGGGGTGGCTTTCGTTGTCAAACGTTTGGCAGATTGTTGCCAGTAGGAAAATTTCTTGTGTTAATAGTAACCCTTAAATGTTGATGTGTGACATATATAAATTAAGCACATTCTCAGAGATAATGGGAATGAAGAGACTGAATCATGAGTTTCGTTGAGTGTTATTGACAAAACTACAACAGGTGCAAGGGTACTTACATACTGACCCTTTCCTTTGTAACTTCAAAACTAATTTTAGTTGTGTTCCAGTACTTTTTTAGTAGTAAAACTAGCAGAAGAGAGAACAGTTCGAATTGTCATTCTCATTTAGGTTTGCTCAAAAAATAAGGGAACGGAAAATTAGCAGAAATGCGATAAAATGTCAAAATTCAAAATTCCAAAAGTAAACAGCCTAAATCGGACTGGTGAAACCTTACTGAAAAGAGCGCCAACATTTAAAAAATGAGTATTGAAGACGATAAGTTAAAATTAATAATTTATAATAATAATTAATAATCTGATTCCTCATTCAGCCAGTCCTCTTCACTGCTGGAATCATCCAAAAGTGAATACATCAGTTGCTCCATATTTTCTCTTTTTGTTTTTTGCACGACAAATATTAGTTTTTCCTTTAGTTTTCAAGTTGATCATTTTCTTTATTGAAATGTATCAATACATTTTTCAACCTTGTTAGCCCTGCCAATTAAATGTCAAATTTACAATATGCACATTTCTGCTCGGCCAAATTCATGTAGCTAAAACGAGCAGAAATGTGCACCACTCAGCGCCATTTTTTTCTCGAGAGAGCTGCAAGTTTTGCTAGTTTTTTGAGTACGGGAACGCGTTGTAGCAGAATTAGTGCTAATTGGTACTAATTTGCAGGTTCTGGAACACAACTTTTAATAGTATTTTTAATGGATTTTATAAGTTCAGTAAAGCAATTAAATTGTCAATTCCATAATATATATGCGTCAAATTTATCATAGTGGATTAAATGTAACATTTTATATCGGCCTAAACTATCCATCCTTGGAAGTAAATTTTCTTACGTTAATCAGGTTGAAAACAAAAGTGTAGAAAATATCGGAAAGATGGAAATAAATTTCGTGCTAGATGTGTTTAAAGATTTTGGAAAGGACCAAATATATAAACATGTTTTTTTATGATCAAGTTCATGTTTTCTGCTAAAAAAAAAACTAAAGCCGTTTTGCATTTTTCTTATGTGACAACCAGCAGATAATGTAATTTAAAATAATAGTATCCAATATAGTATCCAATATAGTATCCAATTATTTTTATTGATATCAGGGTCTCAACTCATTATGTTTACTACATGTTGACAAAAAGACGTCAAATTTATAACCATGGTACAATAAGGAAGGAAAACAGCTTCGTAAAACTACAGAAATGCAGCCCTGCAGCTATTCCCGCTTCTGAATTTTTCAACATTATAGGCAACAAGTTTTCATTTATTTAATATTTTTTGTTTATTTTTAAAATGAGTCATATAGCGCGAAAGATAGATGAAATGCCTGGATGTTCTCTTAAAAATATGATCCTAAGAGTTCAATCTTTGAATTCCATGTCAAATCTGGTTAATATTATTAATGCGCGCCCCGCAATTTAAGTTTCTTCCAATCATTGATTTTGAAAATATTTTGTTATTTATATTTTTCAAAACAAGAAATACATACACAAAATTGGCAGAAATCGGGCACACTTAGAAAAAAATTGTAATCACCTGGAAGCTCTACCTTACCCTTCTGTTCCAGAAAAGCCAGAATGTAAAATTTTTTACCACGAGAAACGTTTTTCCTTTTATGATATCGAACAAAAATTAAAACTAGTAGATTCTTGCCGGTTCTGGAACAAAGTATTAAAAGCATTTCGCAAATTTAAGAAGACGTCTATTATTTATGCGAATTGTTGTTTTGTCCATGGTACAATTAGAAGGTAGAACCTCTTCGTAATACTGATCTGAGGCTGTGCCCGCTTTCTGTGCCCGACTTCTGCCAATTTTGTATATGTATTTATTGTTTTGAAAAATAAAAACAAAATATTTTCAAAATCAATGATTGAAAAAAACGTAGATTGTGGGGCATGCTTTGAAGATATTTATATTTTTTAGTCATTTAACAAATAAGGAAACATGTGAAATAATATAATAGAATAATAGAAAAAAATTGTTTGCGTTAATTGCATGGCAGAAGAATACAGGTAGATGCATCAACACTTGGGAGCATTGATATGTCAAAAAAATAAATGTTTTTTCAAATATAAGTAGATTTTTATATGTTTTCTTATACTACATCAGTCGGAGGCTATTATAATTCGCGTTTTTCAACAATTTTTACAAAATTTAAATAATTTTTCATTCAACATTTTCAATTCAAAAATTGGTTTGACAGTTCATTGTCCTAGCAGCTGTGTCGACGCGTCTACCTATATTCTTCTACCATGGTTATTTGTTTTGCCCTTCTTTTTTATTACACCATTGTTTTTTCCTTCATTTTACGTACACATTTAAGGAAGTTTATGTAATGATAAACAGTTGATCAAATTGCCGTTTTCGCCTAACATTCTGTTTAAACGACAACCAATAACGTTTTCTCAGGGCAAATGTGTTTAAACAAACTGGATTTATAACAAAAATAAAAGAAAAATAAACAATTTCAACATTTCCTCAAGTAAACAGTTTAACTTTCGTGAAATTTGCTTATATTTGCTATTGCAAGTCAATTGGTCAAAAGTCGATCTACTATTCCCTAATGCCTGCGATTTTTGTCAGACTCCAATTGAAATCAATTTGACGGGCGTGTTTCAAATTGGCGACGACGGGTGGAATTGTTGTATTTTAAGTTATAACAAACAATAAGCATTTAAAAAAAGAAAAACAATAATAGAACATCCGAAATGGGTCTAAAAGGTTGTGAAATTGTTTTGGATAATCCCTGGAACACCTATTATGCTGGACAAACTGTAAATGGACAAGTAAATTTAACATTCGATTCGGCAAAGAAGATACGAGGTATGAATTGAATTTTTAGAGATTTAATTTTAAAATAATCGCATAATTTTCTATTAAAATTATTTTATATTTATCTGTGTGTATAACTGTGTGCGTATGTCAGTGGGAAAATAAATAGAAAATATATCCTGCGCTAGTAGTAAATAAATAAATCTAAAAAGAAAATATTAGTCATATCTTTATAATGTATCCACATCACATCATCATCATCAACATCCATCCTATCACCCAAGCAAGTGGCCTTCCCTACAACTACTACAGCTGCTGCTGGTGTTGTTGTTGCTGTTGCTGCCGTTGTCGTCGGTGCCCACCACACGTCGCATCCCCTCCATTTACTTTTTTGCGTTGAATTGGGTTGTGTGTTGTTGGAACGTTTAACGATGAAGACGACGTCATTATTATTGGAATTCATTGTATATTTTTTACCCATAGCAGTGGCTGCTTGATTGTATCATTATTTATTGTCGTTTGTTGTTTTTTTTTTTGGCAATACTTGTGCCCTGTTTTGATTTCAGCTTTATTTGTTAAAGCTTAGGTATTCGATTTCTCCCTATATTATTCATTCTTTTTTGGATTTAATTGAATTTTATTCATTTGAAGCTAATATAATTTGTTTTTTTTTGTTTTCTTACATCCAACAACAAATTTTAACACCTTTTTTCCAAATTCTGCCCCCTCAAGGCTTCCAAATATCATGAAATATGCGGGCATAACATTTTGCTCTTTCCACTTGTGGCAAGTGTGTGTGTTTGTTTGACCCCTTCCCCCACAATATTCTATAAATTTTTTTCTTACTTCTTTATGTGCTCCCCAAAGCCGGTTCTATTTTATTTTTAGCCCGCATTTTTTACGTTTTGTGTGTTAGCTACTTGTCTGTCTTCATTGACATTGTTGTTGCCATCGTCTTCTTGGTATTACACGATATTCAGGTTCCCTTTCTTTTAAAGAATATCTCATTCACATTGCGGCACTACATAGTTCGTTGCAAGTTGTTGTGTGTGTTTGGGTCGTTCGGTGGGTGGATGGATGGTTGTTTGTTTGTTTACAATGCACCGCCAAATATTTCTCATAATGCAAAGAAACTTCAAGATGTTTATATGGTTCGTGGGTCGTTCATTCTTCTGTTGCTTGCCTCTGCTAATAATGGCATCATTCAAGGGTTACTGAACTCATTCATGCAACAGAAATCTTTGAGATGGGATAGGTGAAATATGCAATATGCAGATACATATGTAGATGGAATGCTTGCTGGAAACGTTTACCTTCACATATGAGCCTTAGAAGAATTTGTATTTTAAAAAAAAAAATAAATAATTTCAATGGATTTTTTAACCCAGTTTTGTCTAATTCTTCATTTGTTCTTTCAATTAGATTTATTGTTCATTTTAAAAAAAATTAAACCTAATCTGCTAATATACAAATGCAATGCTCTCGCTTGCATGATGATATCATATCAAATTCGCTTCTATTTAAATTAAGCTCAAAGATCATTCATTGTGTAGGAATACAAAAAAAAAAAAAAAAAAAAAAAAAGAACATTTTGTTTAATTTTCCTAACAATTTAACTAATTATGAATCATTTTTATTCATAACTTGCAATAGTAATGCAACTCTATCAACCACAATTATATTGAAGAACTGGGGGATTCATTTGGTAAATTTATTTACACCTAACAGCAGAAACAATTTGTTTGTCCTCTAATGGAACTTTAGAAAATATTCTTTAAAAAGCGACGTTGTTTAAGGGACTCAGTTAAGCTATTGTTTAAATACCTCCTAGAAATACGCTGCAATTGTTCCTTTTTCGCCTCCAAAAATATATTGAAAGTCCACTTTTGTTTCCTCCAAGTAACCCTCGGAAAATATGTGTAAAAATTCCCGTTCGTAGATTCTTAATACCATCAGAAATTATGTTTGAAAATAGTAAGTTCTAAGAACCCTCAGTTCTAAGAACCCTCAGCAGGCAGTTTCTAAGAACCCTCATAAAATATGTCTAAAAATCCATGTTCGTAGCTTCTAAGGACCCTCATAAATATATTTAAAAATCCACGTTTGCAGACTCCAAGTATCCCTGAGAAAAGTTGATTAAAAGTCCAAGTTCTTTTTTTTTTTTTTGAGTAACACTCAAATTATAGGTTTTGAAAATCGTTTGTTTCGTCAAAGTAACCCTCGGGGAATATGTTGAAAAAGTTCACGTCCGTATATTTTAAAGTAACCTCAGAAAATATGTTTAAAACTCCACGTTCGCAGCTTCTTAGGACCCTCATAAAATATATTTAAAAATCCACGCTTGCAGACTCCAAGTAAACGTGAGAAAAGTTGATTGGAATGTCACATTTGCTTATTCTGAGTACCATTCAGAAAATAGGTTTGAAAATCTACGTTTGTTTCCTATAAGTAATCCTCAGAAAATATGTTGAAAATATTCACGTCCGTAGCATCTTAAGACCCTCAGAAAATGTATTTAAAAATCTTCGTTTGTTATCTCCAAGAGGCCATCAAAAATATGTCAAAGATCCATCTTTGTAGCCTCTAGTAGACCATTGGAAAATATGTTAAAAATCCACGTTTATAGTCTCCAAGTGACACTTAGAATATACGTTGAAAATTCACGTTTGTTACCTATGAAAGACCCTCAGAAAATATGTCAAAATCTTTTTTTTTAGCCTTTAACTGATCCTCAGAAAATATGTTGTAAAATCCCCATTTATAGCCACTAAAAATATGTTGAAAACTTTGTGTTTATTGCCTCTAAGAGGCCCTTACAAAATATGTTTATATTCTCTCACCCTCAGAAAATATGTTAGAAATCTGCCTTTATTGCCTTTAAGTGATCCTCAGAAAAAATGTGTTAAAAGCCTCTACGGAACTCGGGGGAAAGTATGTCTAAACCCCAATTTTATGGCATCTAGGAAACCTATAAACGTATAATTAGGAGTCCATCCTTGTGTACCACATGGAGCTCTCAGAATGTATGCTCATAAATTCTACTTTTATAGTCTTTAAGTGATCCTTAGAAAAAATGTGGGAAAAGCCTCCAAGGGACTCGGGGAAAAGCATATATAAAACCCAATTTAATGGAATCTAAGAAACCTATGAAAGTATACTTAGGAATCCATCTTTGTGTACTTCATGAAGCTCTCAGAATGTATGCTCATATATCCACGCTTATGGCATTCAAAGCACCCTCGGAAAAAATGGCTAAAATCTTCTTTTCTAATTTCTAATACATCCTTAATAATATACTAGAACTCCTTTAAAACACCCTTCGAAAAATGCTTACAAATCTACGTTTATGGCCTCAGAGATATCCTCCAAAAAAAGCTTCAAAATCCACGTTTATGGACTCTAAAAAAATTGCTTAAATATCAGCCTCTAGAGCCTTGAAGATACCTTCCAAAAATATGCTTAAAATCCAGGTTTTTGGCCTCAGAGATATCCTCTAAAAATATGCTTAAAAATTTACGTTTAAGGCCTCAGAGATACCATCGAAAAATATGCTTAAAAATCCACTTTTATGGCCTCAAAGATACCTTCAAAAATATGCTAAAAAATTCACGTTTAAGACCTCGAGAATGCTATCCAAAAATGTGCATAAAAATCCACGTTTATGGGCTCATAGATACTTTCCAAACCACGTCTATGTCTTTAGAGATGCCCTCAAAAAATGTGCTAAAAAATCTACTTTTATAGCCTCTATAATACCATCGAAAAGTGTCCTTAAAAACCAAGTTTATGGCCTATACTTAGGCCGTCAAAAAAATTATTAAAAATCCTCGTTTATGGCCCCAAAGATACCCCCAAAATTATAATTAAAATCCACATTAAAGCCTTGAATTGACTGTTTAAAATTCTCGTTTATGAGATCTAACATTGATGTGTATGGCTTCTAAGCGACTATCAGAAGATATGTCAGAAAAATATTCCAAAAAAAAAAATAGTTTGGTGGCCTCTAATGTGCGAATGGGGAAATAATTATATTTTAATATTTTTATAAATCTGCGTTTAAAAACGCACTATTTTCGTTTTTTTTTTCATTTTTTCCAAAAATAACTTAAATTCTTTTTTCCCCTTGTTCTTCTAGGTATCATTATAAAATTCCTTGGTGAAGCCAATACAGAATGGTCCGAAACACGCAAAGTCACCAACAGCGAGGGACGTGATGAAGATGAGACAACCACCTTTAAGGGTCATGAAGAATATTTCCAAATCAAATATTATTTAGTTGGTGGCAAGAACAGTAAGTACCCCCCAAATGCATATCAAAGAAAATCTTTCCCTAATTTTCAATTATGTTTTCCTTTCAGGTGCCGAAATTGAATTGCCAGCCGGTACGCACACCTATCCATTCACCTGTGCTCTGCCACCAACATTGCCCTCCTCATTTGAGGGTGAATTTGGTCATGTACGCTATACGATAAAAGTTACCCTCGACAGGCCATGGAAATTCGATCAAGATATGAAAATGGCATTTACAGTTATTGCCCCCGTCGATTTGAATTTAAATCCTCGCGTAAAGGAACCTTTCAAATTGGAATTGGAGAAATCTTTCTGTTGTTTCTGTTGCAAATCTGGCCCGCTGTCGGTTATAACATCAGTTCCTGTAACGGGTTATGTTTCGGGTCAAATAATACCGATAACCTGTGAATGTGATAATGCTAGTAATGTTAAAATAAATACCGTCAAATTTGTCTTACGTAAACGGGTAACGTTCCATACGACACAGCCACGTGCCGAAAAGAAGGAGTCAAAAATCACCATTGCTGAACTGGGCATTGGCCCCGTGGAGGGTGGTGAATCGCGAACATTTAGTCAACAATTGGAAATACCACCATTGCCACCAACAAATCTGGTGAATTGTGGTATTATTGCATTGGATTATGATTTGCATATTGAGTGTAATGTGGGCGGGCCACATCGTAATTTGACGGGTAACATACCCATTACTTTGGGTACCATACCTTTGGCCTCGTTTAAACCACCAGCTCCGTATACCGATGTACCGGCCCAAATTTCACCTCAACAACAACAGCAACAGAATGACGATCCATCGATGGCTCCAACACAGCCTGTCAGTCCTGCCAGTCCACCCAATGGCCAGGGTGGTGCTTTGGGTTGGAGTGTGGCCGATAGTGTTGGTGGTCAAATTTATCCAAATATACGTAAGTTTGGAAATCAAGTAATAAATAAAAAAATATTTTATAAATAAATTATTTTCTTTCACAGCTCCTCCCCAATTTGTGGAGACTCAATTTAAGGCTCCCACAATTACAAATCGCGATGACTCGGAACACACTCGAGTAATTGGTGGTGGTGATTTCGCTCCACGCTATCCCACCTTCCAATTTAACACCCCCACTGCGCCTCCAAACATGTAAATTCTGCCATTCTGGTACTACTAAAACTGAATTTTAGAAATCTCTTCATGGAAATTGTATGATGCAAGTGCTTGAAGTATATCAAAGCAAAACGACGCACAATTTTCTTCGCAAACAACCAAAAGACTTTTTAAGGAATCGTCAATTTGTTTCATTTTTTTTTTGTTGCAACCTAACCACATGATATTTTTTAAAGAGTCTCAAAATGAAATAATTAAAAAACAAACAAAGCAGATTTGATTGCAGATGTAAACATTTTAAACAATTTTAAAGTTACATTTAATGCTACATTTTTTTTAATATCCTACTGCCAATAATTTACAATATCCAATGGCTAAGTCCCAAATTCTGTAATCAGATTTTATATTTTTCTCTTGATATTAATTTTATTTATTTATTTAAAAAAAATATATTTAATACCGTCCTTTATTGCTGTGCTTTTGAAACAATTATTTCAATTGTCTTTTCTTTTTTGGAATCAAATTCTTCATACATACAAACGAAAACAAAACAAAACTATTAATAGGAAAACAAAAAAGAGTGCCTAAGATCAAAAAAAAAAAAAAAAATGTAAGCTTAAAAAGTACTTTATATAGTCAAGTGGAAATTAAATTTTCGTTTATATCAATTAAGTGTGTATAACTGGTGTCAGTTTTCAAAATCAGAAAATAAAAACAAAAACGTACAACTACTACAAAATCAGCTTCCCATTTGTAGAACACAAAAAAACAACTGTTACAGTGGCAATAAACATAAAATTTGTTAATTTGTAAATTGTATACTACACTTTATTTCAATATTATTACCCTTCAATATATATTCAATATATGTATTTTTGTATATCTTTTTTCTCTTAATTTCAGTTTTTTTTTTAATATTTTATAAACAAAAGTATAAAGAACTCAATTCAAAATGTAAAACAAACACACACAAAATAAATGTATTAATATTTTTTATTTGTATAAAAAAATATATGCAATTTTAAAATAGAAAAGTGTTTTATTTTCAAATTTCTTAAGGCATAATTTGTATGTAAACTGTTTGATATTATCAGGACAGACACTAGAAGTGTCTGCGGGAGGAATGTGCCCAGCGAAAGCATCGGCCCTTACATGCAACTTTTTATACCCTACACCACATAGTGGTAAATGGTATTATGTCTTTGTGCATTTGTTGTAACGTGGAGGAGAAGAGAAGAGACCCATAGTTAATTTTGAGGATCTTCATATAATTACTTTCTGAGTCGATTTATGCATGTCCGTCCGTCTGTCCATGTATTCTTGTTAACAAAATGCAGGTCGCATTTATTATCCGATTGAGATGAAATTTTCCAAACAATATTTGTTTGACCCAAGGACGAACCCAATTGGAATTACTGATAATCGGATCTGATTTAGATATAGCTCCCATATATATCTTCAACAGATTTCGGGTTAATTCTGCACCAAATGACCAGTCTAGAAGCAACTACATCAAATTTGGTGAAAATTGGTTCATATAAAGCTATAGCTCCCATATATATGCTTCGTGCGATTAGGTGTTAAGGTCCCTCAAATTCGTAATAAGCATTCGACAACAATGATATTGGGTACCAGATATCAGCCCAGAAATACCTCTTTTATCAAGATCGGTTCAGATTTGGATATAACCCATCTATATCTTTAACCGATTTCAGGTTAATTATGTCAGTATCAGTTGAAAAGTCCTGAATACTGGTACATCCGACCGAATTTTGTATAGAAGCAAGTACATCAAATTTGGTGAAAATCGGTTCAGATTTAGCTATAGCTTCCATATAAATGTTTCATTCGATTTGGTGTTTCAGTCCCTCACCTTCGTAATATGCATTTGACGACAATGATATTTGGCACCAGATGTCAGATATAGCTCAGAAATACCTCTTTTTTCAAGATCGGTTCAGATTTGAATATAGCTCCCATATATATCCTCAACCGATTTTGGGTTAATTGTGCACCAAATGGCCAATATAAGACCAAATCACCTAAATTTTGGCACATCCAACCGAATTCAGTCTAGAAGCAAATACATCACATTTGGTGAAAATCGGTTCAGATATAGCTATAGCTCCCATATATATGTTTCATCCGATTTGGCGTTTCAGTACCTCACATTTGTAATATGCATTCGATATCAATGATATTCCGTACAATGATATTCAGATACAGCCCAGAAATACCTCCTTTATTAAGATCGACTCAGATTTGGATATAACTCCCATCTATATCTTTAACCGATTTCGGGTTGATTCTGCCCCAATTGACCAATATAAGTACAAATGACCTGAATTTTAGCACATCCGACCGAATTCAGTCTGGAAGCATGTACATCAAATTTAGTGAAAATCGTTTCAGATATAGTTATAGTTTCCATATATATATATGCTTCGTCCGATTTGGTGTTTAAGTCCCTCACATTCGTAATATGTATTCCACTACAATGATGTTTGGTAACAGATGTCAGATATAGCCCAGAAATACCTCTTTTATCAAGATCGGCTATGATTTGGATATAGCTCCCATATATATCCTTAATCCGATTTTAGATTTATAGTGCAAATAATGGACAATATCAGCCCAAATGGAATGGAGATTCGGGATGTACATTTCCATTTTGTGAAACTCGGCTCCGATATATTTATTTCTTAATATAATCCTTCTCGAAGTGATAACATGCACTCTACAGCAATGTTATTTTATTATTCGCCGTCAAATTTAGTAAAGATCGATTCAGAATTGTAAATGTCTCTCATATATTTGTTGCCTCTGAAACCAAATTTAACTGCTGTAAAGCCAAATGTCGATAGGTGGTATGATCTATTTCAAATAAATTCTTTTGTTGCGGGAGCTCTACTAAATATGTATACTGGGGTAGGGTATAACATAGTCGGCCCTGCACGAATATAGCCTTTGCTTACTTGTTTTTAATTGTGTCCCCGCAAATTCAAAGCTTCTAACTCTTCTTGGGACAAGTAGAGCGCATAAATAGAAGACAGTAGGTTCGGGAGAAAGTAGAGAGGGGGGATATTCATTTTCTTCAAAACAGGTATTAAAGTGGCAAACACACCTTTCGAGCTGCAGTCTCCCTTTTATCGAATTATTTCTATTCCTCATTAAAGCATTTCAGGCAGGCATTACCTGCTTTTATGAAAAGACGCTCGCCGGGACTCATCGTAGGTATCTACTGCGTACCTTATTATTATTATTGTTGTTATTGTATTGAATTGTTGTTTTTTTTGTTCTTTTTCATATGTTTTTATTAGATTTAAGTTTTAGTTTTAAGTTTTAAACCCTAGATTTAAGATTTTCTCTTTTATATAAAAGTCCCGGGAGCAAGGGCGTCCATTAACACACAAGATGTTTACATTTTATTGTCTTTTTATTAAATGAAGCATGATGCTGTATAACTATTCTCGACATTAGGATAATACATTATAGTCTTAAGGATTCCTTTATATTGTTTTTAATTGTCATCTTATTGATAAAAAAAGACTCAATAAAATATAACTTAACTTAACTCATTAAAGCATTCTCAGCCAGTTCCACGATATCGAAAGAACACGTTCGCACAACTTTTACACGACAAACAGCTGATTTCCGTTCCACTAAAATCCATCAGAACGAAAATTTGCACGAAAATCAAAGCGAACGAAAACGTAAGCATTTCAGTGTAATTTTGCGTTCCACTATCTTTTTTCTTTCGTACGCATGCGAACACAAATGTCAAAATCAGTCACTTGTGTGTTTGCTATCGAATAATAACAATTAAGGAAAATTGTTTTAACATTAACATTGCTTGATTGAAAATGGAAACAAAAATGTAAGTAAAAATAATAAATGCAATTTAATATGTGAACAACAAATATATATTTTTTTTATTTTCTCAATTCCAGCACGAAAAAATCATCAACTACACAGCTGCGGGCACTAGTATATGGAGGAGAATCCTGTGTTCACCAGAGGAGTGCCAATTTTTGGAAGCAGCAGAAGAAGTTTTAAATCGGGGCGGATTCTCCACTTCTCTTCCATCATATCCAAAAGAGCCCGAAAACTTCCTTCGACACACGAAAATTGGCCACAAACCTTGAAAAAATTATTATTATTATTTTTTATTATTTCAAAAATGTAAAAATACAATCATACTTACTGGTTGTTAGGTACTTCAAATAAATTCGAAGCATCTCTTAAATGCCTCCGTGGCACATTTTGAACCTCCTCCACATCATCCATAAAAAATAGGGCTACGGAAATATTCTTTTTTTATTTTCTAAGAGCACAAATAGTTTGAACACAATCAATAGAGTTTTTATTTTGTTTGTTTATTTACAATTTGTTTGTTTACAACTGAAATGTCAGTTGAGACAGAGCCACTGCTGCTTTTTCGCGTTTAAATTAGACATTTGGCGCTTTTTTTGCCTTATTTCGCGATTAATTTTTCCAAAAAAATATTTAGCAACACTGAACCACGTAAGGCTATGCGAAAGAAAGAACGAAAGTTAGTGGAACGCATTCTTATACGAAAGTGAGTGAGTAGCCTTCGTTCGCACAAATTTTCTTTCGAGATCGTGGAACAGGCTGTCTTTCTCATACTTATATGGAGCATATTTAAAGCATACTTTTAGGCGCTCTCCAAAAAATTTAAGCCAAAATTAAATGAATGAAAGGAACTATCTGATTAGACTGTAAATTAAATAAATTTATATATTTCAAATATAAATTTAGTATAAATATTGCATAGGTATGTTATATATTACTATACTATAAAAATAATAAATATAAATGTGAAAAAGTCACTTAAATATGACTCCAAAAAGATGATTTCCAAACTAGCCTTTAGAATGTGTTTTTAAAAGAAGAAACTGAAAAGAAGAAATATTTCTTCTAATTTTTTTTTTCTAGAAAAAAATGAAATCTTGAGAAATGGTCTTGAGAAATGGTTGTCGGCCTTTTTATTTGATTTATAAATAATAAGATTTTTTCCGGCTTTAGGCCATTTTCGGATTTATTTTTTTGATTACAATAAGATGTTCCCAATATTTAAATTACATCTTCATGGGCAATATTTACATAAAATAGTCAGATTTACTTAACAGTAATTTTGTAATAATTTGTTATTGTAATCAATAAAATAAATCCGAAAATGGCCTAAAGCTCGAAAAAATCTTATTATTTATAAAAAAAGAAATGCTTTATGAAGACCTTTGACATTGCCATCAAAGTCATCTGCATATGTCCTCCATTCATGGTGAAGGTCAGTAAATCAAAGTGCTTGCATTATATGAATTTTTATTCTTATCATAATTTAATTTTATTGAATACGTCAATTTCGAAACTTAATCTAAAAATATTTAAAACTTAATTTCATTATGACTGATAAGAGCAACCTATCCCACCACATTGGCATTGATAACCTCTAAGTGTTATAACAATAAAAATCACTTAATTGCTTCCCCATCTTAATGTAGGCATTATTATCACTAAAATTATACACACATATGCATACATTATAAAGTGTTGGGTCATTAGCCAATTGGTGATAACCAGATTTTTATAAGTTGCGAATAAAACAATTTATTAGATATGGCTGTGATAATTGATTACAAAAACAATTTATTAACGTTAAATATAATGAAATGTATTTACATTTGGAAAGGGTAGATAACAATGTTTCTGGTTGTTGTATTTGTTATTTACATATGTAGCTTAATGAAATAATTTTATTTCTTATTGTTAGTATCCTTGGGCTGAACATGAATCATGACCTTGATGGCTCCACCCAATCCTTTGCGTGCCGTTTCGAAGGCCTTATCCGTTTCGGTTATATCAAAGTGATGGGTTACCAAACGTTTGACGTTCACACGACCGGATGCCACAAGGGCCAAGGCAGCGGAATAACTGGAAAAGAGAAGCACATGAGAGTTAGAGATAACAAATAAAGGTTACTTTGGGCAGGTATTTTATATAAACTTTAGATGGAATATATGAACCTTTCAAAGGTATTCTTTCAGAGAGTCCTCTATAAATTGAAAACCTTGAAAAGCTCCTTAATATATAGAAGGTCTTCTGTGGGAAATTGACATAATAGAGACCTTCTTTAGAAAAAAAACCATAAGGAAACTTCTCCAAGAGGAAGGTAAAACATATTTCATTAACTTACTCATTACAATATCTGAAAACACCACGAATATCAACTTCGCGGGCCAAGGCATTGATTAATGGCACCTTAACCTCAGGAGCACCCATGCCAACAATAACACAGCAGCCGCCGGAACGGGTTGCCTAGAAAAAGATATTCCAAACATTACAACTTCATCTGTAAAACACCTCTCCCTCCCTTCGAAAAACTTACAAAAATGCCCAAACGTGTTGTTGTCTCTGCACCACAGCATTCGATGGTCTTATCCGGCTGGACACCCATAAGCGATTCCACTTGTTTAGCGACTTCTTCGGGTATATCATCACGTTTCATCAATAATGTATGAGTTGCGCCCAATTCCTTGGCAACATCCAAACGTTGTTGCACCAAATCGGTAATCATAATTTTCGAGGCTCCCATTGACTGGGCCACCAACAAAGTGACCAGACCAATTGGCCCGGCACCCAAAATCAAAACATTGGAACCCAAACCAACACCGGCACGACGGCAGGCATGTACACCCACCGACAGTGGTTCAAGGAGAGCTCCCTCTTCCATTGTTACATGATCGGGTAGTTTGAAACAGAAATCGGCAGCATGTTTATAGTAACGCGTCAAATTGCCATCGTAGGGTGGAGTGGCACAGAATTTCATTTCCGGGCAGAGATTATAGCTACCTCCCTTGCAGAAATCACAAATATAACATGGTACTCCGGGCTCAATGGCACAACGATCACCAACTTTAAGATGTTTAACCTTAGCTCCCACCTTGGCCACAACACCGGCAGCTTCATGGCCAATAATCATTGGTTTGGTGACAATGAAATCACCAATGCGACCATTGACCAAATAATGGACATCGGAACCGCAAATGCTAACGCAATCCATGGCCAAAAGGACCTCTGTGGATAAGGAAGGGAATATGAACGATATTTGATACTAAAATTAGGAGAATATATGAAATGAACTTACCGTTGTCAGAGATTTCCGGAATTGGACGTTGTTCCTAAATCAAAAAAGAAGAAATATTATTAAAATATTGTAAACATTTTAAAAGTGTTAAAAATTTGTTAAAAAAAATAAATGACTGAAAAGTCGTAAATAACAACGACTTTAAACAGGCAACATAAACGCCATCTACAGTTAGATTACATAAAAGTCATTTTGAGAAGATGACTTAAGAGTCATATCTACAAAGATGACTTAAAAGTCACCTCTAAAAAGATAATTTCTAGAATGAAGACCGAAAAGTCATCTATAGAGAGACTTTTAATCTGTACAAAGATATCTTAACATCTAGAAAGATGACTTGAAGTTCTTCTCTAGGAAAATTACTTTCACGATAGTTCTAGGAAGATGACTTAAAAGTCATCTCTTTAGAGATTTTTAATCATCTCGTCTGTAGAAAAATTACTTGCATAAGTCATAAATAAAGACGACTTAAAAACGGGCAATGTAAACGCCATCTACAGATAGATTACATAAAAGATATTTTAAATAGATGACTTAAAAGTGATTTCTAGAAAGATTATTTAATCTCTAGAAAAATGATTTAAAGGTCACGTGTAGAAAGTACTTGAAAATCATTTCTAGACTGGTGACTGAAAAGTCATCTGTAGAACGCTGACCTAAGAGTTATCTCAACAATGATGAAAGTCACCCCTGAAATTTATCTCTTGAAAAATAACTTTAAAAGTATTCCAGAAAGTCATCTCTAGAGGGAGTCGTTTATAGAAATGCTCTGTTCCAGACATGCAAGAATATAACAGCCAGTTCCACGATATCGAAAGAACACGTTCGCACAACTTTTACACGACAAACAGCTGATTTCCGTTCCACTAAAATCCATCAGAACGAAAATTTGCACGAAAATCAAAGCGAACGAAAACGTAAGCGTTTCAGTGTAATTTTGCGTTCCACTATCTTTTTTCTTTCGTACGCATGCGAACACAAATGTCAAAATCAGTCACTTGTGTGTTTGCTGTCGTATGATAAAAATTAAGGAAAATTGTTTTAACATAAACATTGCTTGATTTAAAATGGAAACAAAAATGTAAGTAAAAATAATAAATGCAATTTAATATGTGAACAACAAATATATTTTTTTTATTTTCTCAATTCCAGCACGAAAAAATCATCAATCATCTCCGTGGCAAATTTTGAACCTCCTCCACATCATCCATAAAAAATAGGGCCACGGAAATATTCATTTTTTTATTTTTTAAGAACACAAATAGTTTGAACACAATCACTAGAAATTTTATTTTGTTTGTTTATTTACAATTTGTTTGTTTACAACTGAACTGTCAGTTGAGACAGAGCCACTGCTGCTTTTTCGAGTTTAAATTAGACATTTTGCGCTTTATTTGGCCTTATTTCGCGATTAATTTTTCCAAAAAATATTTAGCAACACTGAATCACGTAAGGCTATGCGAAAGAAAGAACGAAAGTTAGTGGAACGCATTCTTATACGAAAGTGAGTGAGTAGCCTCCGTTCGCACAAATTTTCTTTCGAGATCGTGGAACAGGCTGTAAATGTTTTTAATACGATAACCGATTTTACCTTTATGGTATCGAAATTGCAAAGTTGGCAGAAAGAAAAGTTTACTTAAAATTCATTTCTAGAATGATGACGTGAAAGTCATGTCGAGAAATATAAACCAACGGCTTAATTTGACTATGAACATCATGGAATTTACAGTTAAAATACGGCATTTAAATTCAATTGACCTACATGACTTAATAGTAACCTCTAGAAAATGTCTTAGTAATCACATCTAGAATTATAATTCGTAAATCAATTTTAAAATGATGACTGAAAAGTTTTTTATAGAAAGAATACCCAAAAGTCAACTCTAAAAGATAACAGGAAAATCGCATCTGGAAAGATGACATAAAAGTCACGATTCAAAAGGCTTTCAGCTGTCAGTGGATTTCATTTGTCGTATGAACATCATGGAATTGACAGTTGAAATACGGCATTTAAATCCAATTCTCCGAAGTTGACTTACATGACTTAAAAGTCACCTCTGATAATTCGAAAATAAATTCTGCAATGATGACTGAAAAGTTTTCTATAGAAAGATGACCTAAAAGTCATCTCTAAAAAGATAACAAAAAAGTTGCATCTAGAAAAATGACTTAAAAGTTACATCTAGAAATATGACTTAAAAGTCACCTCTAGAGGATGACTTTAAATTAATCTGTAGAAAAGAGACTTTAACGATAGTTCTAGAACAGGGTAGAAGAATACAGGTAGTCGCACCGACACAGCTGTTGGGACACTGAGCTGTCAAACCGATTTTGGAATTGAATATGATGAATGGAAAATAATAGGAATTTGTAAAAATTGTTGAAAAATCCTTATCGGAACTACATCCGATTTGCGTCGTGTAAGAAAACATAAAAATCTACTTATTTTTGACAAAATATTAAAAATTTTTTGACATATCAATGTTCTCAATCGCTGATGCATCTACGTGTATTATTCTACCATGGTTCTATAAAGATGACTTAAAAGTCATGTCTAGAAAGATGACTTTAAATGCATCTTTAGAAAAATGACATAAAATCTACACAGCTGCTGCGAATATGAACTGTCAAACAAATTTGAAATTGAAAAATTATTCCAATTTGTAAAAAGTGCTGAAAATGCATATCATAACAACCTCCGATCAGCGTCGTATAAAAAAATTATAAAAATATACTTATTTTTCAAAAAAAAAAAAAAAAAAAGACAAACATAAAATCTACACATCTACACAGCTGCTGTGAAATTGAAAAAATTGAATGAAAAATTATTCAAATTTCTTAAAAGTGCTGAAAATGCATATCATAACAACCTCCGGTCGGTGTCGTATAAGAAAACTTATAAAAATAAACGTATTTTTCAAAAACAAAGAAAAATAAATAAATAAAAACTTTGACATGTCAATGCTCCCTAGCGTTGATGTCTCTGCCTGCATTTTCTACGATAATTGTTGAGCAAATGAGCGACTGCCACTAACAATTGCTCTATTCTAGAACCTTCAAGAATCTACTCGTTTTGCATTTTTTTTCGATTTCATAAAGAGAAAATCGAATATTGTAGTAGAAATTTTTTTTATATATTTTTGCAGTTTTGGAACAGACAAATACTAAAGTAATGACGCATACGTGTTGTCGTTTTCAATTCGCCGTTGGGTACATCTTTATCACTAAATGTTCTCAATATATATATTTAGTTGTACCATGGCCCGCATTGAGTACATCAACACTTATACGTCATGACGAAATTTTCATTTCACTGTCTAGCCAAGAAATTGTTATAGAATTTAAAATATAAACAATACCTGTTTAGTTTATATTTTATAGATTTCTGGTGCCAAATAATTTGTTTACTGCTAATGTGCCACAAATGTCCACGTCATCATAGAAGAATACAGGTAGTCACATAAAAACAGCTTCTGAGACAATGAACCGTCAAAACGATTTTGGAATTGTATATATTCAATGAAACATTATTGAAATTTTTAATTTTTTTTTGAAAAATGCATATCATAACAACCTCTGATTGGTGTCGTATAAGAAAACAGATAAAAATGTACTTATTTTTTAAAAAAAAAGTTTTATCAATGATATCAATGTTCCCAAGCGTTGATGTATCTACCTGTATTCTTCTACGTCACGTCATTTACTTTTATAAATATAAGGTCTTGTTTACATTTGCATTTCGGAACCGATTATAAATTACAGATATTCAAAAAATTATTTAAAAAAAATTGTTCCTTTTGCATTTTTTGAACGATAAACTCAAAACTCGATAAAATTGGGCCTAAATTGAGAACATTTTTTCAAGGATATTTCATAAGTGCAAATTTTAAACGCAATTTTATCCGCATATGTCAAATGAAATCCACTGGATTCAGAGTAGACGTAAACGCGCTGGAATTGACAGTTGAAATTCCTGTGTGTAAACATGATTTAATAATTATCCTTAAAAGATTCAATATTTGGATAATGCGAAAGATTTTTTTTTTTTTGGGAAAAAATTCTTCATATGTACTTAATAACCAAATTCCAACAATTAAATAATTTTTTTCAAAACTGGCCATTGTAGTTTTATGAGATTTTATAACCAGTGAACAAATACGGTTCATACTTTTACTCCGTTCCAGAACCTGCAAGAATCTACTAGTTTTGTAACTTATTCGGTCATGATAGTAAAGGTGAGAGTACATAAAATATTTTTTCACTGGCTTAGGTCGTCGACTGGCTTCTTCGTAAAAGACCAAAGCAGCTTTTTAGGTGAGAATACATAAAACGCTTTTTTGACTGGCTGAAGTCATCGAGTTGCTTCTTCGGAAAAGGACAAAGGAGCGTAGGACCAAAATCGAACTAAGTAAACCTAAAACTTCTTTGTTCCTCTACGAAGAAGCCAGACGATGACTTAAGGCTGGAAATACATAAAGAGCATATTTGGCTGGCTTAAGTCACTGGCTGGCTTCTTCGTAGATGAACAAAGGAGTTTTAGGTTGACTTAGTTCGATTTTGGGCCTAGGCTCCTTTGTTCATTTCCGAAAAAGCCAGCCGATGACTTAAGCCAGCCAAATATGCTCTTTATGTATTCCCAGCTTAAGCCAGTCAAAAAAAAAAAAACGTTAGGGTGCAAATACATAAAGAGCTTGAAGTCATGGCTAGGCATATTAATGCCAAATTATAATGGAAAACGACGGCAGGATTTTAGTGCGGCTCTGTAATTCCTTTGTGAAATGTCACAAAATAGGCCGTGCCATGACTTCAAGCTTCTTATGTACTTAGCCCTTTACTCTTACCTTTAGGTTGACTTAGTTCAATTTTAGACCATGTTAACCCTAAGATCCTTTGTTCTTTTATGAGGAAGCCATAAAAAAGCGTTTTATGTATTCTCACCTTAACTTCTTTGCACTCTTACAGGTTCTAGAACAGATCACTTTTTTTTAAATAAAATATCTGAGGAATAAAATTCTGCTAAATTTTTAAAGATTTTTGGAATTAATCGATTCAGGATTTCAAAACGATAAACTTCGTACTTGATAACTACTGACACACTACTCATCCCACATTTGTGTTCAATTGAAAACCCACAAGTGAGGAATTGTATTCAATAAAAATAAATTTGTCTTTTATAAATTGTTAAATTATTACGCCTCATAGATTTAGACGCCCACGGCCGGCGCCAATTTCACCAATAAATCTATTTAGTTAACTTGTTTCCCCAATTCACTATTGTTTTTTGTCACATTTCCCTTTTGACACCGCTTACTCACCAATCTCATGTCTTCAATTCCATAAAGAACAGCTGTTAGATTATCCTTTGCCATTTTGTTTGTTGTGTTCCTTATTTTCTTTCTGTAGTATTCCCGAAAAACAATCTAAACTATTTAAGCGCACCGAACCGTATTCGTCTTCTATTTATTAACAACTGAAATATAAATTCAATTGCTTAGATGTTTTTGGGCTTTTGTTTTGCTTCGTCGCTTCTTCTTATTATTATTATGCAATTTTGCAATAAATATTTCTGGTTCTCGTGAGAGTAGTGTTGGTGCCGTTAAAATGGGAAAGAGACTAAGTTGTTTTGTTGAGTAATTTAAAGCATTTTAATATGGAGTTATTTAATCATAAAGGTGGCTATCGTTGCAAAGGCTCTTATGTAAACATACTACTATATTGCTTATCTTAACCTTCTGAATTTAATAAATACAGAAACATATCGTATTTGTCATGGTAGAAGAATACAGGTAGTCGCATCTGCACAGCTGCTGGTACAATGAACAGTCAAACCAAATTTGGAATGAAAAACTATTTAAATTTATAAAAATTATTAAAAAAAATGCATAACACAACAACCTCCGATTGGCGTCGTATAGGAAAATATATACAAAACTATTCCTTTTTGAAAAAAACATGGACAAATTTTGACATATCATTGTTTACAAAAAGCATGGTAGAAAAATACAGGCTTGGGAACATTGATTTGTCAACAATTTTTTAATAAAAAAAATAAGTAGATTTTTATAAGTTTTCTTATACGACGCAAACCGGAGGTTGTTATGATATGTATTTTTCAACATTTTTCACAAATTTTATTAATTTTTCATTCAACATTTTCAATTTGGTTTGACAGTTCATTGTCTCAGCAGCCGTGTCGATGCGACTACCTGCATTATTCTACAATGGGAAAAAGTATATAATAATGTCAGCCAGTTGGTTTTTTATCAGTGTAACGGCACATAAACAAATAAATATCAAACTCGTGGTAGAAGAATACAGGTAGTAGCATCGACACAGCTGCTGGGACAATGAAAAAAAAAAAATTGAATGAAAAATTATCCAAATTTATAAAAATTGTTAAAAAACGCATATCATAACATTCTCCGATTGGCGTCGTATAAGAAAACTTATAAAAATCCACTTATTTTTGAAAAAAAAAAAAAAAAAAAAACATTTTAAAATTTTTAACATATAAATGTACTCAATAGTTGATGCATCTACCTATATTCTTCCACCATGACACCTCCTCCAAAATTTATTTGGTAAATGATGATTTTTACAATTATAATTTTTTTTGTTTAATGTGACTTAATCTGAATGGCATTTTATTAGAACATTTAAAGCTCTATTGGGAGAAAAGTACCCTGTGGGGAATGTGTAGGAGAAGAAACCAAATGTAAGAGAAGAAATCAATTGAATTTGTGTTATAGAAAATATTTTGGAATTTCAATTAAGGTCTAGATTTTGAATTTAAAATATTTATGAATGTTTAATATTAAATATAATTGATATTTTTCCAATGGGGTCTTTCTAAGAGAACGGCGTTGATTTACAGCCTGTTCCACGATGTCGAAAGAACACGTTCGCACAACTTTTACACGACAAACAGCTGATTTCCGTTCCACTAAAATCCATCAGAACGAAAATTTGCACGAAAATCAAAGCGAACGAAAACGTAAGCGTTTCAGTGTAATTTTGCGTTCCACTATCTTTTTTCTTTCGTACGCATGCGAACACAAATGTCAAAATCAGTCACTTGTGTGTTTGCTGTCGAATGATAAAAATTAAGGAAAATTGTTTTAACATAAACATTCCTTGATTGAAAATGGAAAGAAAAATGTAAGTAAAAATAATAAATGCAATTTATTCTGTGAACAACAAATATATATTTTTTATTTTCTCAATTCCAGCACGAAAAAACTACACAGCTGCGGGCACTAGTTGAGTATATGGGGGAGAATCCTAAGTTCGCCAGAGGAGTGCCAATTTTCGGAAGCAGCAGGCAATCCCATGAAGACCACTGGAAGACACAAACCTAGAAAAAATCATTTTTTTATTATTTCAAAAATGTAAAAATACAATCATACTTACTGGTTGTTAGGTACTTCAAATAAATTCGAAGCATCTCTTAAATGCCTCCGTGGCACAATTTGAACCTCCTCCTCATCATCCAAAAAAAATAGGGCTACAGAAATATTCATTTTTTTTCTTTTTTAAGAACACAAATAATCTGAACACAATCACTAGAAATTTTATTTTGTTTGTTTATTTACAATTTGTTTGTTTACAACTGAACTGTCAGTTGAGACAGAGCCACTGCTGCTTTTTCGCGTTTAAATTAGACATTTGGCGCTTTTTTTGCCTTATTTCGCGATTAATTTTGCCAAAAAATATTTTGCAACACTGAATCACGTAAGGCTATGCGAAAGAAAGAACGAAAGTTAGTGGAACGCATTCTTATGCGAAAGTGAGTGAGTAGCCTTCGTTCGCACAAATTTTCTTTCGAGATCGTGGAACAGGCTGTTAATTAGATATTGGGTTGGAGTGAGTTCGTTTGGACTGATGCTACTAAAATGAAAGGGCGAGGACTTCCTCACCTAGGTTATAATATAAATGTTTACAGTTGCGTAAAAACGGCAACAGAGGGAAATTTTGAATCCAAAAATCTTTAATTTTAAACTTCACATCATGGTAGAAGAATACAGGTAGTCGCATCGACACAGCTGCTGGGACAATGAACTGTCAAAAGTAGTTTGGAATTGAAAAAATTAATGAAAAATTATTGAAATTTGTAAAACTTGTTAACAAATGCATATCATAACTATCGACGATTTGTGTTATAAAAGAAAACATAGAAAAATCTGATTATTTTTGACAAAACATTTCAAAAATGATGACATATCAATGTTCCCGAGTGTTGAAGAATCATTCTTCTACCATGCTTCACTTATAATCTTAAAGCACGTTTTCACATTCGATATCCAATGGATTTCAACGGTTTATTCATGGCAGAAGAATACAGGTAGATGCATCAAAGCTTGGGAGCATTGATATGTCAAAAAAAAAATTTTATACGTTTTCTTATACGACGTCATTCGGAGGTTATTATAATTGGTGTTTTCCAACAATTTTTACAAATTTAAATAATTTTTCATTCAACATTTTCAATTCCAAAATTGTTTTGACAGTTCGTCACAGCTGTGTCGATGCGTCTACCTATATTCTTCTACCATGGTTTTATACCATTGCGTATGCTTTAAATCTAGCGGATTTTATTTGACGCATTAGAATTGATAGTTGAGAACATGGTGGAAGATTACAGGGAGATGCTTCAACGCTTGGGAACATTGATATGTCAAAAATTTTTAAATGTTATAGGTAGATGCATCAACGCTTGGCAACATTGATATGTCAATTTTAAAATATTTTTTAAATAAATTTATAAATTTTTAAATATTTTTTAAATATAAGTCGATTTTTATATGTTTTCTTATACGACGTCAATCGGAGGTTATTATAATATGCGTTTTTCAACAATTTTTACAAATTTGGATAATTTTTCATTCAACAATTTCAATTGTAAATTTTGTTTGACAGTTCATTGTCCAAGTCTGTATTCTTTTACCGTGGATGTTATGATATGTATTTTTGAACAATTTTCATAAATTTAAATAACTTTTCATTCAAAATTGTCAATTTTAAATATATTATTATACGACGACTATCGGAGGATATTATCATGGCAAAAGAATACAGGTTGATGCATCAACGCTTGGGAACATTGATATTTGAAAATTTTTAAATTTTTTTTCTTCAAATATAAGTAGATTTTTATATTTCTTATACGACGTCAATCGTAGGATATTATATTCGTTTTTCAACAATTTTTACGAATTTGAATAATTTTTCATTCAAAAATTTTAATTGTAAAATTTGTTTGACATTTCATTGTCCCAGTCTGTATTCTTTTACCGTAGATGTTATGATATGTATTTTTGAACAATTTTCATAAATTTCAATAACTTTTCATTCAAAATTGTCAATTTTAAATATATTATTATACGACGACTATCGGAGGATATTATCATGGCAAAAGAATACAGGTAGATGTATCAACGCTTGGGAACATTGATATTTGAAAAATTTTAATTTTTTTTTCTTCAAATATAAGTATATTTTTATGTTTTCTTATACGACGTCAATCGTAGGATATTATTATATGCGTTTTCAACAATTTTTACAAATTTGAATAATTTTTCATTCAAAAATTTCAATTGTAAAATTTGTTAGACAGTTCATTGTCCCAGTCTGTATACCGTAGATGTTATGATATGTATTTTTGAACAATTTTTATAAATTTCAATAACTTTTCATTCAAAATTGCCAATTTTAAAATTGTTTTGACATTGCGATGTCTTAGCAAATGTGTCGCTGCGACTACCTGTATTCTGCTACCATGATTTCGTATGTGTAAACATATTTACCGCTTTTTTTCATGCATTGTAAATAATTGCATTCCAACCGAACCACCCTAATAACTGCTACAACTACAACTTAGATAAGAGCGCCATCTCCGTTCCATCTCTTTCTAATAGATATGTCAAACTTATTAAAATGCAAATATCACCTTATGTGTGCTTATGTGTATTTGTCGTTTTATGTCTCTGAATTTCTTCAAATAAAAAAAGTGGAATTGTTGTTGCCATAAAAAATAAACTCTATATATTTATAGTCATACAATATTTGCCATTATAAAAATAGATCAAATAAATATTTATGTTTGTATGTGTGTAGATCATTTCTTATACAGAGGTGGCTTAGAAAAAATCAAATGATAATGAAATTTCCAATGTTAAGAAGGTCATTTAGCAAAAAAAAAACTAGGAAGAAACTGATAAGGGGCCAGTTATCTATCTATCATCTGTTGTGCACTTACGTTGAGTGTGAAAACAGCAGGTATTAGGATTTGTTTTTACATTGTTTTGTAATGCAGTTGGTGGGCAGGTTATAAAAGCTGCAGCTAGTGTTTGGAGGCGAGAGCAATTGGCGGGAAAATTGAGGAAATAAGTAGAAAAACACCAATATATTTCGCTATATTGTCAACAATTTCAGAAAATTTATATTTTATTTGTAAATCGCATACTCAAATGCGTTTCTAATTTTAAATTAAAAATTTAAATAAAATTGTTATTAAAAATACCCAAATATTGTAGTAGATACTTAAAATGGCTGATAGTGTGTACCCCACTCTGAAATCAATAAAAAGAAAATGCATGGTAGAAGAATATAGGTAGACGCATGGTAGAAGAATATAAGTAGACGTGTCGACACAGCTGCTGGGACAATGAACTGCCAAACCAATTTTGGAATTGAAAATCTTGAATGAAAAATTATTTAAATTTTTAAAAATTGTTGAAAAACGCGAATTATAATAGCCTCCGACTGGCGTAGTATAAGAAAACATATAAAAATCTACTTATATTTGAAAAAAAAAAACATTTAAATTTTTTTGACATATCAATGACCCCAAGCGTTGATGCATCTACCTGTATTCTTCTGCCATGGGTAGACGCATCAACACAGCTGCTGGGACAATGAACTTTCAAACCAATTTTGTAATTGAATATGTTGAATGAAAAATTATTTAAATTTTTAAAAATTTTTGAAAAACGCGAATTATAATAACCTCCGAATGACGTCGTATAAGAAAGTATATAAAAATCTACTTATATTTGAAAAAACAATTATTTTTTGGCATATCAATGCTCCCAAGCGTTGATGCATCTACCCGTATTCTTCTACCATGATCTGTTGCATATACACAAATAGGAGATGAGAACCTGTTTTCTATGCAGTGAAATTTAGGAAGCTAAATTACTGAAAATGCAGAGATGGATATGCTAATTTCAAATAACTTTACCAGGCTTTATAGTTTAACCTATGGTAGAATGGTAAAAGGTAAAGTCATGCAATCATATGTTTACAATTTTTTTTTTTTCAAAAATTATTCATTTGACACCATCTCATTGTCAGAATTTGTATTTATAAATCCATTGTACTTATAAACTATATTCTGTTATTTTGTTTTAGATTTAAAAAAGTTTTATTCGCCAATTTTTTGGAAAATGTTAAACCACAGGAGCGCTTTTGATTATGGGTTACCTTAAAATTTAGCCCAATAATAATTTGTTTTAGATTAAAAACTTGTATTCATTTATTTTTTCGAGAAAATGTCAAACCACAGGAACGCTTTTTATTACGATTTACCTTCGACTAAAATAAAATAAACAATATTCGATTATTATGTTTTAGATTAAAAAAGTTTTATTCATTTATTTTTTGGCTTGATTTGATAAGTTTTTTGTTAGATATTAATTTTATTCATCCAGGTTTCTGTCTGCCTTAAATACTTAGTATATTAACTTTTCTTTGTTTATTGTTTTAATTCTTTGTTTTCTTATAATAAAAATCAATTTCAAATAAATTTATTGAATTTAAATGCAACACAGTATTGCGTTTTAAATGCTTACTTTTTTGTTGTTGTTCTTTTCGTTTTCTAATATAAACTTTGTTACAAAATTATACTTAAATGCTTAACTGGAACGTAATTTTGTTACATTGGTCATAGGAGAATGTTTGTTTTCTTTTTTGTAATACTCGTAATTGTTTTTATTAGTTTTTTTTAACATTCTTTTTTTTTAATTGTTGATCAAAATTTAAACTGTACTTTTTCGAGATCATTGGTTATGGCTGCGAATGTGTCTCCGCTTTGAGGGACAAAGCAGAATAAAAGCGTTGAGCGTTTTTTCACCACTCGCGTTAACGCTCAAGCGCATTGCAAAGCTAGATAACGCTCAACATTGTCTTCGTTTCCCCGTTGTTTCAATAATAACATTTAACGCATCGCAAGTCTCAATTCGTTCATTTTGCCATGCCCCGTGGTAGAATTAAGAAGTTAAAGTCATGTAGTCATATTTTTACAATTTTTTTCAAAATTATTCATTTGACATCTCAATTGTCAAAATTTTTTTTTAACATATCCAATGTATACACACAAATCAGAGATGGGAACACGCTTTCCATACAGTGAAAGTTGACAAGGTAAATTACAGAAAATGCAGAGATGAATATGC